GAGAGAACGCATGCTGCGGGAAAGCATGCAGAAACCGGGGCCGTATGCCGCCATGCTATGTCGGGCCATGATCCCGGAGTACTTGATTGTGGCGTGGAGGGGGCATGTCTGCTACCACGGAGGGCCCACTAAGATCGCCCTACCCCGGAACCTGATCAACAGGCTTGAGCTCTACCTCCACGAGACCTACGAGGAGTTCTCCTACGAGGATTTCTCGTCGATCCCCGGCCACATTGACCGGATTTTCGCGTAGGTGCACTGGGACTATGGAGTGGAGCGTCTTGGGCCTGGGAATCATGGAGTAACGGACATTGTGAAAATTTTTTAAAACACTTGGGACTAAATTGAGAAGAGCCCAAGACAGAGAAATCATGAAAACCCATTTGTTACCTTTGTAAATATTCCTGTTTTGTACCTGATTATTTTTTTACTAGTTTACAGAACTTTTATAAATGTACATTGTTAATAGTATAAATATTACCGTTCTGTTTTAAATAAATGTTTACATGTTTACAGCACTTACTGCTTGATCCTTCCCCTGATTCTGTGTCCGGGGTAAGGGATGGGGACGGTTGGTACGGGATCTCGGTAAGGGTGATGAAGAGCTCCTGGCTGTCGGGGAAATCAGCGGTGCCAGCGCTGTCGACTGCCTCGTCCTCCTCATCTCCTTCTTCATCTTCCCCGTCCGCTGTCATGTCCGACGAGGAACCGGCCGCGGACATGATCCCATCCTCGGAGTCCACAGTCAGGGGTGGGGTAGTGGTGGCGGCCGCTCCCAGGATGGAATGCAGTGCCTCGTAGAAACGGGATGTGTGGGGCTGGGATCCGGAGCGTCCGTTAGCCTCTTTTGTTTTTTGGTAGCCTTGTCTCAGCTCCTTGATTTTCACGCGGCACTGCGTTGCATCCCGGCTGTAGCCTCTCTCTGCCATGGCTTTGGAGATCTTCTCGTAGATCTTAGCATTCCTTCTTTTGGAGCGCAGCTCTGAAAGCACGGACTCATCGCCCCACACTGCGATGAGATCCAAGACTTCCCGATCAGTCCATGCTGGGGCCCTCTTTCTATTAGATTGCACGGCCATCTCTGCTGGAGAGCTCTGCATAGTTGCCACTGCTGCTGAGCTCCCCTCGATGTCCAAAGAGGAACTGAGATTCAAACTGCCCAGACAGGAAAATGAAAATGAATTCAAATTTTCCCGGGGGTGTGGCTGGTCAGAGCATCCGAGCTCGGACTGCTGTCCAGAGCGTCAACAGAGTGGTGCACTGTGGGATAGCTCCCGGAGCTATTACCGTCGATTTCCATCCACACCTAGCCTAATTCGATATGGCCATGTCGAATTTAGCGCTAATCCTCTCGTTGGGGAGGATTACAGAAATCGATTTAAAGAGAGCTTTATGTCGAACTAAATGGCTTCCTGGTGTGGACGGGTGCAGGGTTAATTCGATATAACGGCGCTAAAGTCGACATAAAAGCCTAGTGTAGACCAGGCCTAAGTTTATCAATTACGGAGCACTTATGAGCATCCCTTTTCAGTTACACCATTTTGTCCATTATAGCATACATCTATAACAGGCATTTCTTTATATACTATGTATGTTCACAGAAAAGAGACCAAGAACATGAACTATTGACTGAGGACTTCTTTTCATGGTATCTGTTTTACATAATTGATAAGCTAAAGACATCACTTCAACCATCCACTATTTTATCAATTGCAAAAGATATCTATAACCAAGTCACTATGACAGAAATCCTCTGGTAGAATAATTACTGATAAGCTAAAAGCATCCTTCAATAGATTATTATCTTACTGGTTACAGAAAGCACCTGCCCCATATCAGTTATAAGTGGTTCCTTTCTGGACATCTGGACATTTCCCTAAGGGTCAAGAATTTGGAGTACAAAAGACACGCAATCTATTATTTAATAACATGCTATAGTCCAGCTAAAGTTCAGCTTATTCATAACACACTAGGGTTAGCTGAAGTTCAGAGTACAGAGTGGATAATAACAGACAGGCTTACTAGGACAAAGACATTCATGTATCCAAAAGAAAACACTCTTCAGAGTTTAGCCAGAACCTTTGGGCTGACAAATGATTCTGGGGGTTTTGGTCAAGTAATCATGAGAGTTTCATATAAAAAGAATAAGGAAAGATTAATGTTTGCTAACAGTTGCACAGTTTAGATCCAGCTTGTTACAGAGAATGCTATTATTTTTTTATCATCTTAGTGCCTGGGGATCAACCCAAATCAGGGCCCCACTGTGCTAGCAACTGGGCAAACACAGAGTAGTAGACAGTCCCTGCCCTGAAGGCCTTGGGGGTCTAATACACATGATAGACACAGGGTGGGGAAAGGGAACACACAAGCAGAGTGAACAATGTGATGGCAGCAAATATTTAGGTCCACAATTTGTTGGGGCATGTGGGTTAGTTAGGAGGGGATAAACTAAATGGAAAGACAAGGGAAGGGAGAAGGATGACGGGGACAGGGCAAGTGAGAGGAGGGAGGGGAGAAAGATCTGAGCTGCAGGCATGGAGTAAAGCTGAGGTGAAGTGACTGAAATGCAAGGGGCAGGAGGGAGTTGGAGTATGTCTACACACTAGTAGCTAGGAGGGAGGTGTAATTCCTAGCATGGGTAGTCATACGTACCCTAGCTTTGCTCAAGCTAGTGCCTAAGAATAGCCGTGTGGCTGTGGCAGCACAGCAACAGCTTGGACTAGCCACCCAAGTACAATCCCACCCAACCCCCTGGGTACATACTTGGGCAGCTAGCCTGAGTCACTGCCTGTGCTGCCGTGGCCACATGGCTATTGTTAGGTGCTAGCTCAAGCAGAGCTAGTGCATGTGTGGCCACCTGCGCTGGGAATTACACCTCCCAGGTGCTGTGTAGATGGATTCCCAGAACTGAGAACATTCATGGGGCCTTGACAATACAGTAATAACAGTGTCACACACCTGTGTATATGAAAGGGTGGCCATGTGACCCTGGTGGCCATGTGTCAGGGACACCCCCTGGTCAGTTTTGCAAAGTCTAGAGTTTGTCCTGGTTTGTGTAACCCCAAACAGACGCAGGTCACCTGAAGGAGGCACCAGCCATTTGAACTGGTGACACTGACAGCAGGGCTGGCTGAGCAGATGTGTACCTCACAGACCACCCACAGGCCTGTCAAATGTTGGCAGCCTGTCTTCCCTCTGTGAGTCATTGTGGCAGCCCTCCTCAGCACACAGAGCCAGACACTCACTGACTCAGGACACTGCTGCAAAGGCAACATATGCTGTCACATAGTGAACAAGCCTGCGGTCCCCTGCACTACAGGGAATCACAGGATTGTGGCAGAACACTGGGAAATATGAAAAGTCATGGAGATGTGAGAGAGAGAGAGAGAGAGAGAGAGAGAGAGAGAGAATGAAGCAGAGAGCTTGCAGGATTAAGAGAATGACAAAGCACATGAGGGGGAGACAGGTGGATGCAGGAGGTTTGAGAGGTAACTGTGTCAATTTTAGGCACAGTCACAGGTGGTGGGACATGGCTTTGTATTCCCAAATAACCCTTTCAGTTCCCTTATTTAGCCCAAAGAATAGGAACAGTGTGTGTGCAGTGATGACTAGACAGAGATGTTATCAGCTGAACCCAGCCCTCCAAACCCACACACCACACTGCCTTTTACCTGAGTGAGAAAGGAAACAGATCATGAGCTCTTGACAGAATTAAAGCTGTGAACAAGTCCTCCAGTCTGGCCATGGAGAGATGTAACCTACCGCTGGCTTCTTATTGAGCCCACGGTTTAAGTCTGCAGCTCTTATGAAGTCTGTCTCTTGTCATATTCACCCACTGTCATGCAGAAATCCTGAATATCACATCAGGTAGTGCTGCCACAGGAGAATCTCAGAATCTAACACAGCATTCTTAACAGGAACTTCTCCATGGAGGTCTTAGGGTTGCAGTGTCCATTAAAATCTGGGTGGCTCAGTCATCTGCAAACGCAAAATCAGACAGGGTGAAATTGGGGAACAGAGTGGTCTATCGGGTAGACTAGGGGACTTGTTCTGGATTCTTGTGCTCTGCCACTGCCTCAGCATGCCTAATCTTCAACAAGTCGCTGAATCGTTCTGTGCCTCGGTTTCCCTACCTAGAAAATGGAGATGACATTGACCTACTGTATAGTGGGGGTTACAAGACTAAGGCGTTGTTTCCATGGGAAAGTTTTCTGGCATAATTTAAGGTCTGAATTTAAACAGTTATACCAGTGGGTGGTCTTAGTCCAATATAACAGTGGCTTTTCTTGGTTTCGCTTACCTTGCTTGGGAAGGGATTTATGCTAAAGGTAAAAAAGCTACTCTTCTCCAGGAGTATGTGCCCACGCATGGGGGGCTATAGGGATGTAGCTATCCATGTATAACTACAGGGGTAGACCCTTCCTGTTTAGACAAGGCCTGTCTTAAGGGATGGCTCTTCTAGAGGGCTTTGTGCCCCCTGCCTAAGAGAGGCTATAGGCATGCAAAGAACGGGTGTTAGAAACACTTTGCAGCGGGGTTGCCGCCCAGTTGGTCCCAGGCTATTACAAACACCGTCTTCTGCCCTTTGCCTGGGCTTTACGGCGCCTCTTGTCCTGTCTATGCCATTTCGGGTGATCGCTTCAGCGCCTGCACATAACGGGGCTCGGGGAGGCGGAGTTACACGTGGACTTTAATCCTGGATTTTGTTGAACGTAACCGAGAACCGTGCTTTGGCGGCACACTGTGGATGGGGTAGCAAAGATGTTCAGCAACGAAAGGGTTAAGCAGGGAGGTTCCCCCGGTGGGTAGCACAAGGCACCTGCTTGGCACAGGGGCGTTTTGAACTTGTGACATTTGCCTTCATCCAGCCCCTGCCTTTCCCTCCCTTCCCGCACTGCCCCGGGGACAAAGGTAGGAGCCACCTCGGCAGCACCTCACCCTGCGGCTCATTGGCACCTGCTCTCTCCCATTGGTCTCCAGGGGCCGCATCCTTCTGCTGACACCCGGGGGAGCGGCCGGCGAGCGGGATCTCAGGGCGCAGGCGGGGCTTGCAGGTTGGGGAGTGTTCAGACCGCCCTCCCGCGGCCACACGCACTGCCAGGCGGAAGATTGAGCAACGCGGAGGCACCGAGCTGCTGCTGCTGCGCACCCGGGTTTCTGGTCGGTGACATCGGAGACCAGCACCAGCCATCGCCCCAGGGCGCGTGAGCCACCATGCCTGCGCTGAAAGTCTGCATCGTTGGGTCTGGGAACTGGTGAGTGCCGCCTGGAGCCCGGACCCGCGGTGGGGCTGCGCTGGGCTCTAGCCTTGCGCGGAGATCTGGGCGCGTTCTGTAGCCGCTCTGCGCCCCGCTGCTGGGCTCTGTCCCTTGGCAGGGGGTTGCAGCACACGGGGGCCCGAGAGCGCCTGTCTCTGCCCTGGGGGGCTCGGGCCGAGGAGCGGAGACTTCAATCCTTGAGCCGCGTTCAGCTGCACGGGAGATTGTGTCTCTTGGCTGGAGTCTGGGGGGCCAGGGGAAGGGAGAGCTCAGTCCGTCAGAGCCCGGCTGCAGCGAGCCCCGCAATCCGCAGCCAGACTCCCCTTCTCACGGAGCAGAAGCGAAGGACGGCGTTTTACAGAAAACCGAGCGATTTGAGTCACCGCAAAAAAGTGACACCCGAGATGGTTTTATTGGGGGGGTGTCTGTGCCGGCTGCACATTTAAGCAATTTCTGCCTTTGCAAAGCCACGTACTGCCCCATGCTAATGTGAGTCCGGATTAACGCCACTGAAGGCAGTGCCGACGCAGAAGCCTGTAGCAGAGCAGAATTTGGGTGTATTGAAAAGTCTCCAAACTACCAGTTATACTGTAAGGCAGTGGGGGGTTTTCTACCTGGGTTTTGAGATGACATTGAGGACTGTACATCACCTGAGCATTGGTTGGAAAGAGGCACATACACACACAGGGGCCTGATCCTTTGCCAGGCTGAGTTCATCTTGAGAGGTGCTGAGCACTCCTAATAGCTACTAGAGTCAGCGAGTGAAGGGGGCACTCAGGACTTTACAACAGGTTCTTAGCATCTCCCAGGGTCAGTGAAATCGGTGAAGTCAGTGAAATATTTGGGTTGAAAAAAAAAATGAATCTAGGATTGGGCTAAAAATGCCAGAAAAAGAGATGCAAAGTAAACTAGATGACTTCAGTTGTTTCAGGTTTTAACCATCTAAGGTCTTCTTTGTCACACCGTTAAACATTAAAAGTGATTTTTAACCTGATCGTGTCCCTTTAACTAAGCTAGACCACCCCTCAGGCAGGCCCCTCCTGGACTGTGGCTATTGATAGGAAAGCCAGGAACCTGTGGTCCTAAAAATATTCCTAGTGAACCCTACAAGATCCATTGGTCTTGCTTGGCCCAGAGCTCTGCAAATCTATTCATTTTGTTACTCTTTCAACCTGGCCCCCAGCCTGACCTCCCTGTTTGGCTCGTCCACCTGTTAAGTCTCACCTCAGACTGTAAGCGCTTTGTGGCAGGGACTGATGTTTGCTAGATGGCTTGTACAGTGTCCAGCACAACAGGGACCCAACGTGGTTGGCCTCTAGGGACTGCTGTAATCAAAATGTGAAATAATAATAAACAATGGGACACTGTCTGAAAGCCTGTGACTAGTGGAAGAAGATGTTCTTTACCTTTAGTTTTAGGGTTTTACAGTTGGGTGCTAGGAGAACCCAGTGGTACTCCAAGGAGAGTTCTTGGAATTCCTACATTGGGGTACACGCCCATCAGAAGCTGGTGGCTCATGGAAGAGGAACACATGCCACTAAGAATGGGAGAAAAAAACAATAGAAATATGAAACACCAGGTACTTATTAGTAAGAACTAATAGCATTTTCATGTATACATCTCAAAGCTTTGCAGAGGTGCATCAGTATTATCCCTATTTTTTTAAGATGGGGAAACTAGGTAGCTACAGAGCTGAAATGGCTTGCCCAAGATCACATAGAGTAAGCAGCAGGATTGAGACCAGAATCCAGGTCAGCTGATTCCCCATACAGTGTCCTCTCCACTCCGCTGTGCTATGAGGGGAAGCATGTGCACATGGCAGCTACGTGGCTGCTCGTGTAAAATGCATACTGAAACCTAAAGGTAGCAAGTGACTACTCTGAGCCTTGTACCTCTTGGGTGGAGAGGCAAGAGGAGGATTCCATGGGCCTCCAGGAGAGTCTGTAGTGTCTTCCACGTGCCCCAGGCCCCAGACTGACTGTGAAATAACCTCATGCTCACCCATCTTCACATGTACTCTTCTTTTTGTAACTTTCAAGTAATTAACTGCCACTGAATGCAGATTAAATGTCTCCTGCTTTGATATTTAGTACTGTTACCTCTGCCTGGAAATGGCAAGTGCATGCAATTTGCTAGAGGGATTGCCAGGTTCTCTACTCTCCCTTTGGCTTTGGTAAACAGTTCTCTCTCTCCTCAGTTGAAGCTTTTTGTTTGTTTTTGGTAATTTCCCACACTCCTCAATGAATTATTGCAGAGATCCTTATGTCTCCTACTGGAAGAGAACATGCGGGTCCTGATTCTACAGCTATTATACAACACAATACTTCCATTGACTTCAGAATCTGGATCAGCATATGTGCAGAATTGGGCCTCTGTAAGGGATTATTTTCCCTTCTGTCCCCCGTGAGGGAGCTCAGTCTCCCAAAATATGTGCTCAAAATAATGCACTGGTTCTTTACACAGATTTCAAGAAGTTCTACACTAAAAATGGACACAAATTTGAGAGCATGGTTCACAGTGGGGAAAAATGGGGATACACTACTAAGACCCCAGCAATCCCAGAATACCAAACCGTTCCTGCTAAAAAGATCACAGGGAAATAATGTTTACATTTTAAATTTAAATCATTAGGTTTCAGAGTAAACATCCTGAGATGAATGGAATGTCAGGGAAGTCCTTCATAGTTGAGTGTTATTAACTGCAGACTTAGTAAGACAGCATTGGATGAGCATTCTGGTCATTATCTTCACAACCATCTTTAAATTGAAAGCTTAAATTCTGCAAAAGCTAATGGTGTCCCCAGAGAAGAGTTGAAAGGGGTAGCATCCTATACTGGCACAGTTCAAACCCTGATAGACAGGTCTGAAATCTGATGCCTCTCACTAGTATGTACACTCATTTTAAAATATTTCTCTGCCTTCCCCACCCTGCTGCTAGAGAACACAGAATTTCTTCCCTAAGGTCTTGTTTATACTGGGATTTGAAACCATGTTTTCTAAAGAACAGTGCATGTATATTCAAGTGCAGATCTCTGAACTGTATATTCAAGTGCAGATCTCAGATTGGGCATTAGGGAAGGAATGTCTCTCCAAGACACACATTATGTAACATCTGTATTTTAAAGGAACAGTCTCACCCCAGAGATGACAAGTCAGATTTTGAAAAGCGCCTAAGTAACTGAGAAGCTCAAATCCCATTTTCACTCAATAGGATTTGGGCCCCTAAACACCTAATTCACCTTTGAGAAGGGGACAAGGTGATTTTGAAAATTTAACCCCCCGCAGCAAAACAAATTACATAGTGCATTTTAATATCGATATACTTCCCTATCCTTATATCCCAAGGGAATAACATTGTTGCAGCTCTAACTATGGAGGGCTGCCCAGTGTTAAAATTCCAGCTCCTGGCCTAGGCAACCCAAACCACTATCTGGACTCTGAGATTGCGGCAATTGCATACAATAGGTCCATGTGTGTCACCCTGCCCCTTTATTCACTCTAAATTCTTGCTAGTGTGGTCTATTGCACCAGACCAGACTGGAAGGCAGGAGGCTTCAGTTGCACTCACAGCACTGCCAGGAATTTAGTGGCTTCAGGCAAATCACTTTGCCACTCTGTGCCTCCAATTATCCACCTGTAAAATGGGGTTATTGATATTTACTCACCTTTGTAACACGCTGTAATATGTATAGAGGAAAATCCCAACGTGCTAAGTATTATCAAAGCATTTTAGGGCTTGGTCCTCAGAGAAGCTGAGCACCACTTGCCTTCAATGGGAGCTGAAGCTTGCAGGATCAGGCCAACTCATTTCATCCCCCTTCTGGCTCAGAAGGAGAGCAAAGGGTCAGTACGCCTTGTATGTGCTCCTTACATGAAGGGGCGAGGACTAACGCCAGGACAGCCTTCACTTAACATCATGCCCACACAGAAATTTAAAGCAGCATTTGCATTTTCCTTTGAAGTATTTTAGCACCTTTCCCAGGAATCCACTGTTCTCCAGAAAGGTGCTGATATGGTTTCATATTTCTGTGACAATTCAGCCTTACATGGGTCCTGGGTTTGTTGCTTCATATGAGTGAATATTGTGCTACCCCCATTCTGCTCTCCCCCTTGTTGTGAATCAGGAGGATATTGAAATGGGCAAGAACATTGCTCTGGAAAGCACTTTGGGTGTGATCCATAACCTACTGAAATCAATAGGGCTCTTTCCTCTAAGTTCAGTGGACTTTGGATTTTGCTTTCCTTCTGGACTATAAGAGCAGAGTATGACTGAACAGCATGGCATGCACACTTCTTTCTGTGTGTGATCCAAATCTCTCAGTGGTTCTTTGGATTGTTTAAGCCAGAAGCTGGGTGGCTTAGAGTAGTTGCAGCTGGTGGAAACACATTTTAAAGCAGAAAAAAATCATTTTTATTTGGGGGAAAGGGTGTTTTTTGAGCTTGTCAAGGTTGAAACAGTGTTTCTTTAAAAAGCAGCCATAACAGTGGAATGTTTACCTCTAGCAGACACACCATTCCCTCTGTTGCGCTCAAACTAGATATTTAACTAACAGTTCAGGGATCATTTCTGAGTCTCAGCAAGATAGTTGACACATGACAAAAATGTTTCAACAGCTTCTCTCAGCTGCCCAGTGAGTCACAGTGATCCTTATTATGCCAACAGTATTGGAAGCCTTATTGCGGATTTGATTATATAAACTACCTGCCAAACCAGAGGAGCAATAGGTTTTGTTAGTTAATAATGGTTCTGCTATTTGTTTAAAAAATACAGATTAATTTCTAAATTACCATATCTGGGGGCCTGATCCTCCAAGATGCTGAATGCCTTCCACTCCCAATTTACTTCAGTAGGAGTTGGAGGTGCTCACTACTTTACAAGACCGAGCATTTATTAGTAGAGGAGCAAGCGTCTATTTGATGCAGAGGGGACACTCTCTCTCTCTCTCTGAAATGTTACTTGTCTCCCCTGTAGAAAACCTGGGTAGATTGTTCCAGTTATACCAGTATAATTAAACCACTATAATTCCACCAGTACAACTCCCTATCTGGACACATTTATTCTGGAATAAGAGTGCTTTTTTTTTCAGTTTAGTATAAACCACTTTCCGAGTGACACAGGCTAAACTGAAAAAAACACTCTTATTCCAGAATAAGTGTGTCCACCCACATGGGGAGTTAGACCCATATAAATATAAACTATAGTAGTTCAAACTCTCCCTCACACTGGTATAACTTCCCCATGTAGCCAAACCTATAGATTATAAATTGCTCAGGGCAAGGGGCTGTCTTTTTGTTCTGTGTTTGTACAAAGCCACACACAATGGGATCTTCATACATGACTGGAATTCCTGGATGCTACTGCAATTCAAATTAAAGAGAAAGACACTACTCTAATATTAATGAGCCATCCTGCTCCTCTGGGGACTGACCCTGCTTCTATTGAAGTTACTGATAGAATTGTCAGTGACTTCAGTCAGAACATTGCCATCCAAAAGTTCTACGGTCCAATAATGCTGAGAGCCAGCACTTGAAGCATAGTACTACTATTATTCATCTATCCTGGAAGAAATTGTTTTAAGAATTAGCAGTAAAAACTATTTGTTGTTGTTGATTTCTTTCATAAATTGGGTTTCTGTCAACCCTTTAATCGGTATCTAATTAAAAAGGACAGCCTTCTATTACCTTTAATAAATTGATCTTTGGCGAATAAATGAGGTAAAATGTTGTTTATGTGGGAGTGTCCCTTGACTTTGTTTGCATTCGTGAACCTTCCCTGCCACGCTCCTATAGTCTACTAAACACTGGTTTCACAGATAAAGCAATTCTTTCCAAAGGCTGGTTAGTGCTGAACTATGAATTTCAAATAGGTTAGGTAAAATAGAGCACCAGTTTTTGAACTCTTTGTTTATGTGCGAGTCTCCCATTAATTCACAGTGAGAATCTTTTCCAGCTGACTGTTGAACACCGCCTCAGATTTTTCTAAAATTGCTTATTTAGTAACCTAGATTCCTTTGTGTTCCAGTCTTGTCAGTTTCAAAATGGTGCCCCAGTAGCATCTGAGCACATCAGCGATGAAGGCTCTGCTGGAAAAGCAGTCTGGTTCTCTGAGAGCTGCCAGTCCATCGTAAGCTACTAAAAACTTTAAAGAGAGCTTACCGTGTGCTGGAGCCTATCTTTCAATTTTAAAATGAGCTTGGATTGCTTAAAGGCCAGAACAAGCAGTTTCTCTTAACGTTTAGTGCTCCTTAGCGGGTATCCGAAATAATCAGCATCATTTTTTTATACTTAAGTAATTTTAGGTTTGCCTTTGTTGGCCTGATTTGCAAAGATGCCAAGCATCTGTAGTTCCCATTGAAATCAGCAGGAGCTGCGGATGCTCAGTAGCTTTGAAAATCAGGCCAACTTTTTATATTACAGTAGTGCCCAGAGAGGCTCCAGATGAGATCTGGGCCTCTGTATTGTACTTGGTACTGAGTACGCATTTGGTAAGAGACAGTCCCAGCCCGCAAGAGTTTACAGGGCCGATGAAGGATGGGAGGGAGGGGGAGAGTATTGTTCCCAATCTGTAAAATGAGGATAACAGGGAGATTAAATCATTTATCCAGGGTCACAGAGAAAGTGTGTGGCAGAACCAGGACCCCCCAATCTCCAGAGTCCCAGGCCAGTGCCTTAGCCACAAAAGCAACCTTTCTTCCCAATGCTTAGTCACTGCACACTTCCACAAACCGTCGCCCTCCTTTCAGTCTCCCATTCTGATGGGACGGGCCGAGAACTGCACTATAAATTAGATATAATTTTAGTATTAAATATGGTAGGCCTCATCTGTTTCACAAAGAGAATCCTTATGCCCCTTTAATGAATATTTCCCCCTGAAATTTTTACCTATATACTTTACATTTGTAAATGACTTAAAAAAATAAACAGATTGCTTTCATGATACAAGGCCTCCCAACACCCCCAGGGTCTTTGGGTAGCCTGGTATCACTGCATACCTTGGCACCTGTCCTGCGGCCAATACTCAGGCAAAATGCCCACTGACTTCAGTGGGACTTTTGCATGAATAAAGACAGTAAGATAGGGGCCCTTATTCTGTTATTGCTTATTGAGCAATTGGCCTTGTGCAAGCTGATTTAAGTCACTACTATAGTTGAGTGAAGGGAGGCAGTTACAACATGGTTTCCCTCTGTCCCAGTTGCAAAGCAGTTATGACTTGTTGTTTGGACAACATCTAATTGGACTTAACCTTGGATAAACCCAAGCTTTTATCAGTTACTGATAACTGGCTAACACACAAATTATGGTCTGTTCATGCTTCTAATTGTAGCTGTGTTGTAACTGGGTCAGAGGACAAGAGTATTGTAACCAGATCCTCTGACTCAAAAGTTGTCTTTGTAATGTGGACAGGTCCTTAAAAGTCAAAGTAGGCTCAAAATGTTAAGTTCTTTCTTAAAACGCAAAGACCACTAACCAGTATTTTCATGGTCGTCTTCTACGGTTAAATCAAGTTTTTTGTTTAATTTAAATATTTTTCCTGCAGTGTTCATAACTCAAACATGGCAGTATTGTGCTGGTGCATGAGAAAATGAAATCAGGGAAAATGACTAGTCTAATTTCACTGTCTATGCCAGTGGTTCTTAGCCTATTTACCATTGTGGGCCACGTGTGTTATGTGGGACGCATCAACACAATATATATACTGCCTGTATGGCCATGAGGATGTCACATAGGCCGCAGCTGTGTGCTGACTGGACTGCAAGCAGCCCGGCGGGCTGCAGGTTGAGAACCACTGGTCCAAGCTGACAGAAAAGCAAGTAAATGCACAGCATGAATGATGCAAAGTAAACTAGATGACTTCAGTTGTTTCAGGTTTTAACCATCTAAGGTCTTGTTTGTCACACCATTAGACTTTGAGTGAATTTTAACCTGATAGTGTCCCTTTAACTAAGCTAGACCACCCCTCAGGAAGGCCCCTCCTGGAGTGCGGCTATTGATAGGAAAGTTTGATACATTTCAGGTAAGATGCACAGACTTCAATGTATCCACATTGCTCAGCAGCATCTTCTCGCTTGGGTTACTCTACTTTTTTTTATATTTTTATTTTTTTAAAGAAGCTAAGCAAAGTATCTGAGAAACAAAAAATATTATTCAAAGTTCTAAATTAAAAACAAGATATAACATGCTACATCATGCTTATGTTAACCCTGGATTTCCGACCACAATTGTATTTTACTTGGTATCCATTTTCTGTATATCTCAGTGGGTATTTTCTTGACTGAGGGAAGAGCCTTGTATTGGGCTTAGTGAGCATATAAACATGGCCATAGTTCCTGTAATGCAGGCCTTTCAGTGAGGTCGGAGTATTTTTCTCAATGCAGTTTGTGCTTCCAGGTGGAACTAGGGTTACTCAACTTTCCTAAGGAGATGGTTTCAAAACGAATGTACAGAATCCTGTCTCTAAGTATTTTACTTTGCTATACAGGGGGTCTGCTATTGCAAAAATTATTGGCAAAAATATCCAGAAGTCTAACAGGTTTGATCCTGTTGTGAAGATGTGGGTGTTTGAAGAAATCATAAATGGGAGGAAACTCACAGAGATCATAAACAAAGAGCATGAAAATGTGAAGTATCTTCCAGGACATACGTTACCTAAAAATGTGGTAAGTTGGCTAAACAACTGAAATGTTCTTTCAAAGCTTTAAGACTGATAGTTGGGCCAGACTGAGAATTTCACAATCTCTGGTTTGCTTTAAAAAAGTGGATTTAACACTAGGGAGAGGTGATAGGTTGACTGGGGGGTGGGGGGGTGGAAGAGGGAAGCTAAAGTTCTTTGTTTAGACCTTAATTCTTTAAATGGAATCCCTGTTGCTTGGATCATTTACAACTAGTCATTAATGTATGAATTAGAGGAACTTTAATCCTGCTTTAACTGCCAACCTTATCTGTGGGTTTACTATCTCATCCTATGTACACATGCCAAGTATTAAGATTACTTACATCTCTTTTCTGCCCAACTTACTCTAACATTCACATTACTTCTGAATTTGACCCACTGAGACATTTGTAAGCGATGCAAACATCTAAATTCTAAAGGACATACAACTTCAAACAAACCAGCTCTATTTGTGTTTTTGTACACAAAGCCCCAGATCCTGCCCAGCTGAAAATCAGCACATCTCCACAGCATTTATAGAGCTATGCTGATTTATACCAGCACAGTATGTGGCCCATAGCGTCCACCCTAACAAAATTAAGGTTGTTTTAACTCCCCCCTCCCTTTCTAACTCAAAGTTCAATAGAAAAGCTAACAGCATAACATATAACAGTATAAAGAGCATTGCTGTAATTCCGTGTGTGATTTCAGAATAGAAAAACGGAGTCACTTTAATTGGTAATACAATAAAATCTACCAAAAGCAAAAAACTATAACTTTTACAGACATTCGAAATGTGTGATCATACTAGATAATTTACAGCTTCAGAAACGTGATCGTTCTAGATTATTTATAGCTACTTAATTTAAAGCAAGCAGGATGACATTTTGTTTGTTCAGGAGCTTGCCAGATGGTCGTGTTTTGAAAAGTAAAGAAAGTAGCACAGCCTTTACAGAGTAGCTTTTAATTTGTGCAAACAGAAATTAACATGCTGCATATGAGTGGCCTCCTTGCTTAGAGTAGTTAATTTTTCTAAATTTAGTATTGTAATAGCATGTTTGCACTCACGTGACTTGAAATTGACATAGGTGGATTTGATCTCCGTGGTCTAATACCAAGCGAGACATGAACCACCTTGATTATTTTTACAACAATATAACAGGAGAAAAAGCCTGTTTTTTTATTCCTATCCCGGTAGCAGACTCACCCTAAAACCTGACCTACGCTAGAAAGTTGTACCAGCTAAACCAGCCTTTTTCCAGCACAGCCTGGCAGGTGTCCATGCTTAATTTAGTCTTTTATTGACAAAACTTCCACTTTTTCCAGCATAGTTATTCCCCTTTTCGGAGGAACGTAAGTCGCTGCTGGTATAGTTCTATCAGCCTAGTGGCAGTGTCGATGCACAACCTGTACCAGTATAAGCAGTCCTCTACTTGCAGTCCCTAATGCAACATACGTTCCCTTCATACATACAACATACATTCTCCGGCAGCACTTTTGAACTCCACTGCCCAGGGAGTCACAGTGACTGGAAGTCACCCCGACTTCTAAATGCCTTGGACTGCCTTCGCAGCCACATCTCTTCCTGTTATCTGCTACCTTTTTGCTGAAATCACGGCTCCTTGCTTTTGGTTTCATGCTGCCTGCTGGTCCAGGCTGGAGGTGCTAGATTTTCTTGCACTGTGAGGAGAGGCGTGTGTGCAGGCCACTTTGCTCCTGCAGGAAGAATAGTTACAGTGATGTGGTGAAGGAGATGGTGAAGCTCAGATATTTACCCCAAAGAAAAGCCCCAGAGTTGCACAAAGCGTAAGGCACTGAGGTAATTATACCGGAAGGTGAAGAACACCACTAGGAGTTCTGGACCCACCTGCATATCTTGTGCCCAGGGCCGGCTCCAGGCACCAGCATCCCAAGCAGGTGCTCGGGGTGGCAATCTGCAAGGGGCGGCAAAAACAGTAGAGCCAGCCCTGCTTGTGCCTTTTATAACATGCTGGATGCTATAAGCAGCAGGGACCCTGTCACTCCACTGGAGACACTTCACATGCTGGGGTTTGTATCACACACATCGCTGTAGAATTTAAAGGAGGAGTAGCTCTTCACTGCTTAGGTCATAAGTCTCCCGGTTCATCTTAGATGGATAAGGTTATGGGAGAAGTGTGCGTGAACAGTTTGCTAGGAGGGTGCGTTTTAATGAGTTAAAAATCAGTCCTGTTTTTGATGGCTCACTTCACTCCAATATGCTCGATGACCGAGTGGAATTCCCCATTCACATTTAAAATAACTGGCCTAACCCAGTTAGACCAAAGAATGCAAATCCTTGGCTTTAAAGGAGCTGATGCGGAGAGCTGCAGTTTGTCTAGCTGTGGACCTGAAAGTGCTGTTTGATTTCTGCTCAGCTCATACTGTGGCACAGATGAAGGGCCCCACTCTTAGGGGGATATGTTCTCTTATTATCATCATCAGTAAAGCTACTGGTAGCTGTGGCAGAGTGAAATTCAGCTGCTGACTTCCTTATAAGCCCTGGTTTTGTTGTTAATGCCAGCTGGAATGGTTTACACTTGGGACAGGGTAGGGCTTGCCAGCTCCTTGGCGTGTTTGTGTTAATTTTTTGCAAGTACTAGGCCAAATCACTATCTCCTGCAGTGAATCCTGCTTGGGCAGGATAACTATAAGGATCCCCTGGCAGAGTTTCTCCTTGATCATTCCATCAGGATGAGAGGAGTAACCCACACATGGTAAGCCATAGGGTCTGCCACAAGCCCTGCAGATCCCCATGGATCTTGAAGCATTCACAGGTGACCAGAGGCATCCGAGGAGAGGCCCTATGCCTCCACACCCTGGCAGCATGGCTCTACTGTAACTGTATTATCAGGGTCACTTGGCTGCCTTTAAGAACTGCATTAAAAGGGGCGAAGGGCCTTCCCTGCTCTGCAGGGCACTTGAGGAGGTAATGCAGCTGTAGGCTGTATTATACTTCCCAGATCATCTCCACAGGGCTAGTATGGCACACTGCTTTAAGAAGTTAGGATATGCTGCCTTCATGGACATTTTGATCTGGAATACAATACCTGATTGCATTAAAGGCTAACGCTCTGTCATAGCATTAATTAGTTTAAGGATTCCTTTATTTTTAGTTTATGGATTCTTATTTTAATGCCCTTCTGTGATGGATTAGGTGTACAATTATTTTGTAAGTATGTTAATTAACCATCCCTCGTACCATGAGTGAGTTAATTTTTTTCCTCACTTTCGTCCTAGGTGGCTGTAGCAGATGTGGTGGAAGCATCGGCTGGGGCAGATATTTTCATCTTTGTTATACCCCATCAATTCATTACACGAATTTGTGACCAGATTATTGGTCACATAAAACCTGGAGCATTCGGCATTTCACTGATCAAGGTAATTTGTGATCTCTACAATCAATCTGTATGCAGTGAAGGAATAAGTATGCAGTATGGAAAACTTGGGGCTAGAAATGCCAAAGAGCTACAGGTCTAAAGCCTTAATGCTCTATTCCGTGTATTCTCCCCTTTCAGGGTCGTTTTTGAGAGCACACACACACACACAAAAAAAAGAGAGAAGGACAATAAACACTTTAGTTGGTTTTACAGAATTGAAGTGATTTGCAATTGTAATCAGGGAGGCTATCTTAAAAAGCTAAAGAAGCCAGAGACAATCTGAAAAGGAAAAAAAAAACATTTAGGACGTTTTTAAAACTTGCAGTTTGCCTCCAGCTTTGAGTCCACTGCTCCTTCTTTCCAATTGTTATAGAAAATCTCATTTAAAACATGAATGGAAGGAAATTGAAATTTTAATTCTGACCTACAGTTCTCCAGCTGTTGCCTTTTCCCTCCCTTTTAAGATTCTCCTGCAAACAGCACTATAAGAGGAAGGAAAGCATAATGCACCTTGACTTATTTCCTTATATAAAGGAAACTGGGGATGTGCTGTTTCCGCTTTCATAGAATATGTGTTACATTTAAATCTTGCCTAGAACATTTAAAAAACACATTACATGAAAACTTGATTATTTTACAGCTACGGGAAGTTTAACACACAAAGAAAAAGCAGCCTCACCATAAAGTAAAACCTTGTGACCTACTGTTGCACTGGGTGCAAGTCCTTTCATTTAAAGGGAAAACTGCCTGCAGCGGGCCTACCGCATGAGACCTACATTTCACATACTGATGCTCTGTCACCCTCGTTTCTTTTCTAATGACTTGACTTTGAATATTATCTTTTAACTAGGGGGTTGATGAGGGTGCCGAAGGCTTGAAGCTCATATCAGACATCATTCGAGAGAAACTGAAGATAGAAGTCAGCGTGCTCATGGGGGCCAATATAGCCAGTGAAGTGGCTGATGAGAAGTTCTGTGAAACCACCATTGGTAATGATTATTCAGGGAGAGTTACAGTCAAGAGCTTTGATTGGCTCTACCACAAATATTCATTTCTACTTCTAGCAATCCCTAGCAGAGGAATAGGACAGCATCTAAACATAGCGACAGAGTATAATGTGTAATTGAAACATGGAAACCTTTGAAGGGTTTCTGAACAGTTTTATGTATACACCACGTATTAAACTCTGAACCTCCTTCCCATAAAGGAATGGCCACATTTCCAACAATCTCACTGGAAACAGGATCAGACTCAAACAACTGCAGGTGCTAGTAGATGCAGCAATTAGCTACTCTCTTCCATTAAAACGTTAGGCTCAATTCTCCTCCTACAGGAGTTAATGGGAGACTCCTAGTAATGTCAAAGAGATTGTGTCAAGTCCTTCAGTGGCCAACATACTGCAAGGAAAGTGCAACCAGCCCCACAAAGCCTCCCCCATCCTTCGTTTAAATTTCTCAATCCTCCCACCTCTTTGTAACTGAAATTGTATCGCTTATTATTTTCTCTCTCACACAGTGCCTACCTGAGCACAAACTGTTTCAGTCGTGTCTCTAACCTTTATATTTTTACAGTAGCTTAAAATCTGTTGTGAAAATTAAAAATGCAACTTTAATTTATTGCAGCTTGACTGGCTGTTTCAGATTGTATGTGCAAATTTCAAACCGCCCGTTCCTGTGCAATGTTAATAGTGAAAACTATAGCATCTTGGCAACTTTTGCTCTCTGAGGAGGCTATTCGACATCAGTATGAACATTAGCTAAGCAATATTGTTACAGTAGATCTTTCTGAGAGCTTGGAGGCGAGTTTAGCACCTTTGCTTGCCTACGTTTTAACGATGGCTTTGAGGTTACTTCTTCAGAGGAGTTTGCCTCTTTGTTCTCCTGCCCTTCCTCAAAGAGTTTCTGCCACTTCTATTTGGGAGAGAACATCTAGAAGAGCTTCCTTTGCTGCTAGACAGGCCAGAGATCGGCACTTCAGAGAAACAACGTATTCCCACATGTCAACTCGCCTAGAGAGTGAGGGATACAAACCAGGCTTCTGAGCTAGAGCACTAATCCAAGGGCTGCAGGACTGAAGCAGCTCAGGCTTGCTCTGATATTTAACAACATGGGGCCTGATTGCCAAAGGTGCCAAGCACCCAGAAGTCCCACTGTAATGGGGACTGCTGATGCTCAGCCCACTGAACATCAGGGCCACATCGCTATTATGAAAACAAAGGCCAACACAACGTTCTAAAAAAAGTCAAGTAAAGCCTCATTCAAAGATCCCCACACAGCTTTCCCAGTAGCACTGCCACCTCCCCTTCTCCATACGAAAGGACACTGTTTTAATAGTTTGATACATGACCTCAGTATGGCTGGAACACCACTTTTCTAACAGCGCCAATACTGAACATCTTGGTCTATGGATCCTCCTGTAAGTGGGAATGCATTTGGTGTTACGAGACGTTTGTCCTAGTGGGTTAGCAATACTTTTATTTGAAAATGTAAAACAGCATCATTGCTATGTGCAAACTTGAATTGATCCTGACACCACCCTGCTAATAGGTTAAGTGACTTGGCCATAGCCAAACTGTGAGTCAACAACAGCTGAGCCAGGATTAGAGCTAAGCAGTTTAATTCAACCCAGTGCTCAGGCTGCCGTGGCCCTCGGGCAGGGCTGTGTGAGCTGGCAGCATATTTGTGTAAATCGATGCTTTCACTGTGAGAGACTAAACGTACACTAGAAAACCGCACTCGGCCAGGTTTGGAATTATACAAGCTAACCACACCTGTTGGGCAGAGATGGGTGTTGGAGGCTATCTACCCGTAACCACTTGAAGTGTTATTGGACACGTTTTGCTAATGCATTTTGACTTGTGCAGTTATACTGGCTGCCAGCTGCAAGAACTGGTATTGGTTCACAAATCCCCCTTTAATCATGTCTAGTTATACAGATTACAAAACCTAACCCTTCCCTCAGAGTCATCCCCCTACTTCAGTATCTTATAAACATACACGTTTTGTCCACCCCGTAACTTGTGTAACAAGAATGTGTAACTCCCATCCTTCCTTCCACAGGGTGCAAAAATGAAAAGCATGGGCAGATCTTTAAAGAATTAATGCAGACCCCAAATTTCAGGATTACCGTGGTGGATGACTGTGATACAGTGGAGATCTGCGGAGCCTTAAAAGTTAGTGATTCCAAACCAAATAATTGTTTTTTTAGGGCCAAATTCTACCCTCATGTCTCGTTTCAAGGGTCCCTGGTCTAGTGCTGGCTCCGCCACTAGGTTATTAGATGGCCTTGGGCAAATCATATGGGAATATGTACGTACCTCATAAGTGTGTTGTAGAGCATTTCAGAACAAATTATACAAATGCTTTCCTTATTGTAGGTGTGCATGCTTCTGAGAGCAGAATTTGGTCCTCAATACTTCCTTGTCTAGGTAGATCGTAAGCTCTTAGTGGTAGGAATTCCTAGCACGTGTATGTTCAGTACCTAGCACAATGTTACTCTCATCGTATTTGGTGCCTCAGGGCCCTCCTGTAATATAAATAATCATAATAGATTATCATTCAAACGACAATTAACATACAACTTAAGTTAGATTTCTTTATCAAAGAGCTTTTTTTTTTTTTTTTTTTTTAAATATAGTAAAGAGGTGGCAAAAGGATAAATAAATAAATAAATAGAGATATCCCATCTCCTAGAACTGGAAGGGACCTTGAAAGGTCATCAAGTCCAGCCCCCTGCCTTCACTAGCAGGACCAAGTACTGATTTTGCCCCAGATCCCTAAGTGGCCCCCTCAAGGATTGAACTCATAACCCTGGGTTTAGCAGGCCAATGGATAGTCCTCTTTAAGCAAATGTTTTCTTTCCAAAGTTCAAGTAATAACATACAAGGAAATAACAGACTGTAAGCTCTGTGGGGCAGGAACCATGTCTCCCAGTGGTGTTGTAACACATTCAGGAATAGTCCTGATTGGGACCTCTGCATTAAACTGCAATAAATGAGAAATAATACTGAAGCTGAAGCCTGTTCCAAGCAGCACTTGAGTGAGATGGATAGTTTGCTTTAAAACCCATTGAAAATGCACTCCAGCATACAGCGCAGTCATGTATATTCTTATCGTTCAACTTATTCTGACAAAAAGCATCAGTGGCTTGAACTGAATCGGTGTGTGGTTTACCTATAAGTAAATTAGTTATTTACACACACAAACATGTATCCCAGGCAGGTTTCAGTGGAGTATTTTTTGTATGGAAATAGCCCAGTCCTGGCTCCTACTGAAATGAGAGTTTCAGCAGTAATGGTGCAGAGAGCAAAACTGAGGCATGAGCATTTCTGGGACTTGAAACTTAAAGGTAGCCACACTAACACCTACTACTACAATATATCATGAACTACACTGTCTGACTACAAAGTGTGGGATATTTTTGATTAAGCATTTGATTAGGATGCGCGGTGAACCTCTTTTAAACTTTTGTAAGGAGAGTAAAATGTTCCTGTAGGCATAGGCCAAGTTTGATCTACTGCAACCAATGCCTGTTTATGGAGGTAGAAATCCAGGCTAGGCAAAAATTCAATTAAAGGTAAGAACAGAAGGGTCACGGGATCCCGCTGCCAACCTGGCAACAAGGGGAAAAAATTATTCCAGCTGCATTATATGGGCCAAATTTTTAACACATTGCCCTTCAGTTTGCACTCGGAAATAACAGTGGGAACATTTTTTTAGGCCTTAGAAGTCCAATTACTTGACATTTAAGTGCTATGAAGTATGCTCACAATTATTTGGAATTGGAATACCTGAGAGCACTCAGGTAAAAAACAAGTTTATTTACTGTGTTCACTTACAGTTAGCATATGCTACCAAAGAACTTGCACGTCTTATCTGATTTGGTTTCCTTCTCTCTTTTGCACCTTTTCCATTAAACTGGTTTTAGAACATAGTAGCAGTAGGAGCTGGATTCTGCGATGGATTGGACTTTGGCGATAATACTAAAGCAGCAGTCATTCGTTTGGGCCTCATGGAAATGGTAGCCTTTGCAAAGCTGTTCTGCAGGGGTCCAGTATCAATAGCTACTTTTCTGGAGAGCTGCGGCGTTGCTGATCTAATCACTACATGCTACGGGGGGCGCAACAGGAAAGTAGCGGAAGCCTTTGTGCGGACAGGAAAAGTAAGGAGCATTTTTGAGGCATTATAAGCCCAAGTGTTAATCAATTGTGTTTTACACACACATCAACAGTCATCTTCCTGATGAAAGGAGAACACTGGCTCTATGATCTAAGAGAGGAGGGTGCAGAAGTGACTCTCACTCTCCTTGCCAACTGCAAAGACTGTTTCAGGGAATGGTGTAGCACATATTATTCCAAGCATGTCCCAAGAGTTGAAAGCTTTGGGCTGAACAAAGATGGACTAAAATAAATTGGAAGGAGAGCGAATACTATCCCACAGTTCTAGAATAAGTGAAAATCCTCTTCCCCTTGGAAAAGTACATCCAGTGCTGCTTCCTTCTGCTTATAAAAGCAAAGGTTATATAATATGGACTGTATGCCTCAGCCACTGCTTAGGGACCCGAGAAAGAATCTGTTTAAGCCTCCCACTACCTTCTGTTCATTAATCACTTGGCCTATAACAAAGTACAAGGCAGGCGTGGGCTGCAGTTTAATCACTGGATTCTTTTGTCTAACATTTTCAGAAGCTTTCCGCTTGAAACACTCTGTTCCGTTATGCAGCTTCCTTTTATTCTGTTTGTGTGATCACTCTCATTTCTTCTAGTCAATTGAGGAGCTGGAAAAAGAGATGCTGAATGGACAAAAGCTACAGGGTCCTCAGACTTCAGCTGAAGTCTATAAGATGCTGAAACAGAAAAACATGGTTGATAAGTAAGTAGTTTGATTTTTTGAATATCAAGTTGACAGACTTGTTATAAGCAAAAGTTATTACTAGTTCACAACTGTTTAAAGGTCTTTATGAAACAAGTATATAGTCTGTCCATGTCCATAAAGTATAAGTGTCCACATCTCAAGGCACCATCACTGTTCACATTAGCCTGCACTCTTACTGGCAGTATCAACAGAACAGGCCAAAGGCTGAATGGTACGCAGAACGAACTACTTCACCTAACAATGGTCCTGTCCAAAAAAAAAAAGGAAAATTTGAGATGCAGTGTTGGAGGCAGCCTGGGTACCTGATCTGTAGACAAATAAGATTTCATGCTCTGCTATCAGTGTTACACCTTTCACTGATACTAGCTACAATATGAACTTTAACTAGTGCCTTCTCTTAGTAAGCTATGCAGGATAATCTTTCTAAACGAAGACTGCTTGTGTGCTGAAAAATTTCTATGTAGTAGGAACATTTTAGTGGCACAAGGGGATGCTATTGGAGTACAGAGCCATTTAAACAGTTTCCTTAATGACCTGAAAAATCAAAAAAGGAATCCTACAGAAAGTGGAAACATGGATGAATGCTAAGGAGGAGTACAAAAGAATAGTGTAAGCAGGTAGGGTCAATGAGAAAGGATAAAGGCATACAATGAGTTATCTAGCAAGGGGCATAAAAGGCAAGAAGAAGTTCTTTAAATACACTAGGATCAAGAGAAAGATGAAGGAAAGTGTAGGTCATCTATTTAAATGGGAAGAAGAGCTAATAACTGATGACATCAAGAAGGCCGAGGTGTTTAATGCCTATTCGGCTACAGTCTTCACTAAAAAGGTTAATGACTAGGTACTCAACACAGTATTAACAAGGGGAAGGAAAGCAGTCCAAAATAGAAAGAGAACAGGTTAGATTAGAGAATATTTAAATTAATGTATTCAAGTTGGCAAGGATTGATGAAATTCATCCTAGGGTACTTAATAAACCAGCTGAATCAATCTTGGAACCATTAGTAATTAGCTTTGAGTACTCATGGAGGACTGGCGGGGTCTCAGAGGACTGGAGCAGGACAAACACAGTATCTATCTTTAAAAGGGGGAATAAAGAGGACCTGGGAAATTATAGATCAGTCAGATTAACATTGATACCAAAAATACTTGAACATATTATTAATCAGTTTGTAAACCCTTAGATGATAATAGGTTTATAAGGAATAGCCAGCATAGATTTGTCAAGAACAAATCACAACAAACCAACCTCATCTCCTTCTTTGAGAGGGTTACTGGCCTAGTGGATGGGAAAGGAAGTAGTAGATGGGATATCTTGATTTTAGTAAGGCTTTTGATATAATCGCACATGACATTCTCAAACAAATTAGGGGAAATGGTCTAGATGAAATTACTGTGAGGTGGGTGCACACTGTGTTGAAAGACCATACTCAGAGAGTAGTTAAAGTATTCGTTGTCAGTCTGGAAGGGCCTATCTAGTGGGGTCCCACAGTGCTCAGTCCTGAGCCTGGAATTATTCAATATTTTAATTAATGACTTGGAAGACTGAGTGGAGAGTGTGCTTATAAATATTTGCAGATGACAAAGTGCTTGCAACCCCACCCACACTGGGTGGGGTTGCAAGCACTTTGGAGGATAGGATTTGAATTCAAAATAACTGACAAATTAGAGAACTGGTCTGAAATCAACAAGATAAAATTCAATAAAGAGAAGTGCAGAGTACTTCACATATGAAGGAAAAATGCAAACGCGCAACTACACAATGGGGACTAAATGGCCGGGTATAGTACTGGTGAAAAAGATCTGGGGGTTATCATGGATCACAAATTCAGTACGAGTCAACAGTGCGATGCAGTTTCAAAAAAGGCAAATATTACAGGGTATATTATCAGGAGCATCATATGTAAGACATGGGAGGCAACTGTCCTGCTATACTTGGCACTGGTAAGGCCTCAGCTGAAGTAGTGTGTCCAATTTTGGGTGCCACACTTTAAGAAATATGTGGACAAATTGGAGACACAGTCAATAGGAGAGCAACAAATATGATAAAAGGTTTAGAAAACCTGATTTAGGAGGACAGGTTAAAAAAATACTGGGCATGTTTAGTCTTGAGAAGAGAAGACTTAAGTCTTCAAATATGTTAAGGGCTGTTATAAAGAGGACTGATCAATTGTTTTACATGTCCTTGCAGGTAGGACAAGAAGTAATGGGCTTAGTCTGCAGCCAGGGAGATTTAGGTTAGATATTAGGAAAAACTTTTTAACTATATAGTTAAGCTCTGGAATAGGCATCCAAGGGAGGCTGTGGAATCCCCATCATAGCAAATTAAGAACAGGTTGAACAAGCACCTGTCAGATGGTCTAGGTTTACTTGGTCCTGCCTCGGCCAAAGGAGCTGGACTTGCTGACACCTCAAAGTCCATTCAAGCCCCACATTTTTAGGATTCTATATAAGCACTTGAGATTACAAATGAAAACATTTGAATTACAATTAGGCTTTGCCTCTGTTTCAACTTGCACAATGAAAGTATGAGTCTTTCAGGTTCTCTTACACTCACACACTGCTGCAGTGTTTAGGGTGGAAGCACTGTAAGGAGGCATTAAAAAAAAAACTTGTCCATTGGAATTGTAATAATTATTGAAAAAACTTCTCTTGGGTTTAGATTTCATAAAAGCTTGTTTTGACAGAACCTATAATGGACCAGACAGTGCCCCTTTAATGAAATTCTACATTATGCACTTAGTTTCAAATCAATTCCATTCTCTCATTCTTGACTGTAAAATTTTCTAACTTAAAAGGCAACCAGCAAAAGGAAAACATTCTTTGCTTTTTTATGCTATGTAAGGGAAACCATGTGAGGGTCAGTTCTGCATGCTTTTACCTTAGAAATATCACAGCTTGTCTTTCCTGGAAGACTCCTTGGGAGGAGTAGGGAGCAGAAGGGAGAGTTTTCCAAGTCCTTAATTGAAAGGACAGGTTGTTGAGTTTTTTCCATACAGCTTTCTCCCACCTGTTTGTCAAGCATTAGTGTTAAATAGGCAGACACCTTCCCTACCCCAAGATAAACAGTAACATCTTTTCCTCTCAATTGGGTCAGTTTCATTCTATTTGTACTTGATGTCTTAATCCTACAACTAGCTCTCCAGTTATCCAGACAATCTCTGGGGGGGCGGGGAGGGGAGAACCACATACAAGATAGATAGGCCTAAAATTTTGAGAGAAGAGGAAATTGTGAAAGGAGAGGGAAAAAAGCAGCATGAAAAGCCTTCAAACTTTGTTTTACATCCTAAAGCAGAAAAAGGCAGCACTTTTCCCCCAACCCCCATTTTCATAGGTGTCAAGAATAGTGCAGCTGTTTGCATAAAGTAAACTTTCAAAACCACTTTAATTATTTCATCCCTCTTTTAGGTTTCCATTGTTCTCAACTGTCTACCAGATCTGCTATGAGGGTAGGTTGGTCCAGGAATTCATCTCTTGTCTACAGAATCATCCACAACACATGTAAGAATTTCATGTGGCTCATCTGGATGTGCATTCATCTCTTCTGGGCTTCTCTCGACTTGGTAGTAAATAAAAGCAGCCAAATAAGTCATGTGGCACATAACTCTTCTTGTAAAGGCAACGTAGAAATTTTTTTTTGTACAGTCAGCCTGAATATTTCAATATTATCTCCAAGGAAGTAGGATGGATACAGGATTGAATAACCTTAATATGGGTTTGACTTTGGTTGGTCTTTTCAGAATCAACCCTAGGAGAATTCTTTTCTTTCCTGTTGATTATAAGTAAGGCTAAAGAGTTTGTCACAAATGTTTTTAGTAAAAGTCACGGACAGGTCATGGGCAAGACAGAGAAATTTTCTTCACGGAAGCCATAACCTGTCCATGACTTTTACTCAAAATATCCCTGACAAAATGGGGATCTGCGGATCCCCGCACTATGGGGCAGCGATGCAGGGGCAAGGAGCCGCCTGCAGCAGTTGGTGGTTGTGGGGTACCCCTACCACCTGCAGCTCCTGGCGTCTCCCAGGTGCCAGGAGCTTGGGGTCCCCACTGCAGCCCGGGGCTGCCCGCTACCTGCGGTGTCTGGGAGCTTGGGGGTTCCCCTTGGCCTGCAGCGGCTGGGAGCTTGGGGTTCCCCTGCCACCCCTGGCCTGAAGCTGGGTAGGGGTTTCCCTCACCCCCCAGCACCTGGAAGCTGCAGGGGTTACCCCGCCAGCTGGGGTGGCAGAGAGCTTGGGGCTCCCCTGCCACTGCATGCCAGGAGCTCCGGTTCTCCTGCTGCAACGCCCACAGAAGCTGGGAGGTCGGGGTTTTTCCTGCCACCGCCAGCAGGGAGCTCGTTCCCCAGCCCGCAGTTTGGGGGTTTCCTTGCGGCCCATGGTGGCTGGGAACTCCGGGGGCCAGTGGGTGGTGTGGACTCTGCAGCTCCCAACCATCGCAGGCTGAAGTCATGGATTCCGTGACTAAATCGGAGCCTTAATTATAAGCAGTCCCCATACTCATCGGCCCCCCACCCGCATAAAATCTAATTCTCGTGCATCTTATCACTTTGCCCACTAATATTTCTCATACAGAAACAGTGCAAAGATGCATGTAATTTGGAGAAAAACCACTTGGAAAATAAATCAAAATTAGTTAACTTTTCCTTAAGAAAAGACTACTTCAGTATTGTCAAGTGGACAAACGTGGGCTTATACAGTTCCCCTAAAATACAATTCCATTTCAAAAGCAAGGTGTCAATACAATTTCTTACTCAATTTGATTTCCTAATAGAAAGCTTGTGGGAAAGGGTAATTGTTACTCTACTCATATGACTGACTGTTCAGTAGACACAAACAGAGCAGTTTAATATAATGAAAATCTTACCTCTGAAGCTTCCAAGTGTCCTGGTGAGGGATTTTCATTAATTTCTTTTCTTAAAGTACAAGGATTTTGGAGAAACTAAATAACACTGCAAAATGCATCTGTTTAGCGTCAGTATTTCTCAACAATTGATGACTAATGATAATTACTAGGCAAGATAGTAAAATGTATCTAAGATTGATAATTAGGGTCCAAGCTTCACCCTGATGTATACCATGTGCAATGTTGTTGATTTCAATGGGGTTACAAGTTTGCAAAGAGGGGTAGAATTTGGCCAGTGAAGTTAAAGCCCTTGATGTTTCACTGCTACACACGCACAAAATAATTGCTATAAACGCACAGACTTCCTATATGATTACATTGGTGAATGAATCTGCTGCATTTTAACTCTAGGTAGGAGGCCCCATTAGAGGCCAGTGCAACTTCATGCATCATCCAGTAGACACTGCACTGCAGCCATAGCCCTGCTCCTCCTAGAGATTAAGCTAGCCATTTCCATCATGCATTCTACACTCAAAAAGATCTACATCACTTCTGAATCTTAGTGACACCCATGCTGACTCATGCACCAATGTTTTAATTTTGCTACAGTTGGCAGCCAGATTTCAAGGCTGTAATTTAACTTTTTGAACACTGTTTTATAACTATTTGGGTAACTTTGCATACTTGATGTTTTCCAGGGTTAAAAGCCATCTATGAATGAATTGTGGTACTTTTTTATATTCCAACCTTCTGAAAAACACATGTACATTAAGAAAGGATGTAACCTACTTTTTGCACAAAATTGCCTCTATTTCGCTGTCATGCGAGGGCATAAGTTAGTGTTTTATAAATTCTCTATACAAAGACTGAAAGTAAAGGTTTTTACATTAGATTTTTTTCTTCCACATTTAACAAGAACCCTGTTACATCCTTGACATTGATTTGTTCAGATTAAAAATATAGAACCATGGGGAACAAAAAACCAAAAATCTCAGCCTTAAAGATGATCAGGAAACAATCACACAACTCCCATCCATTTCAATGGGAAGCGTATGCCTAAATTCCCTATACAGTTTTGAAAGCCTCAACTTACGTCTTTTTGGGGTTGAATGTAAATATGTTGCATGATTTTTAAATGGAAATTACGATCATAGGTTTGAAGTTTTGGGCCCTTTCTTTGCTCTCCTTAGTCAAGCCAAACTCCATTTGAAGTCATTTTAATATTATAGCGCGTTTTCAGGTTTAGACAATGTATATCAAGTATGAGTTCATATAAGTATAAACCAATTTAACTCTGCTAAATTTATAAATATTTGCTGTAATTTCATTTTTCAAAGGCACAGTTAAAATAATTGACAATTCTAATACATAAAGTACTCTCTCTTTGATTGTGTTTAGTGTTTGAATTTACAATGTGTGTGTCATTCTCAGAGAAGGGCAAGACTGAGATACAATTTTCTAGACAAGTGTTTATTGATGTACAAGGATTGGTTTCATTATTTTAAGATGGCAGTACCTAACACAGGAAAACAAAACCTTCCACTCACAACAGCACAAACAAAAAAGTTAGCCCTTAATCCTCAATTCCAGTCACAAAAAACAAACAATGTAAAATTTACTCTACATTTATATTCTGTACTAAAATAGGAAAAACATACTCAAGGTCACAGTCAGTTCTCGCATCCAAAATAATTCTGTTTTCAGAATAAGCTTTATTTTTCAAAAAAGGTGACATTTGTACCCATAGGCCCAATACCACATACCACACAAACGTACCACTTACTGTATACACATGGACCCTAACCTTGCAAAGCGATATAAATGCATACAAATGCATACAGACCCTTGCACCCACAACATCTCTTCCATCTCACTTTACAGAGTCAGGGCCTTATACTGCTCAGCCACAGTTCACCAACTTGACATTAATAGGAACTGTGGAGAAGAACGAACATACACCTCTCCAGCTGCACTGAGATACATTAGTGTAGAAAAAATTTCAGAACAGAAAATATTTGAAAATAGGCACTGTCCCTCCTAAATAAGGGCAGATGACATGATTTTAGATTAGATATTTGTTCCTAGTTTACTAGTGCACATCAAAAAGATAAACTACATTGTACTAACAGTCAAGTAAAACATTGGAGCAAAATTCTCCTTAGATACCTGCAATGGATCCAGACTCCAAAGTCGCAGGAGTCAGCTCATTTAGGAGAGCACAGCACTGGAGTAACAGTACTGCCTGGTGGTTTGGAGCATTTTGCTCATTGCAGACAATTTATCTGACCAAGAACTATCCCTCTCTCCCTGTAATTCTTTGAGACCAGTGCCACTATTGTGTTCTTCAAATCTAGCTCACCTGAACTTTCAGTTACTATTTTAGATTAAAACTAGGGAAAAAATTGTGAAACACCTTTGAGAAATGAGACAGTTTTTTTTCCTATAAGCAAATATGTAGTGTTTTACAAAATAAATATTATATAAATCAAGAAAATTCAGCTACAGCAAGTCAAGTAACTTATTTGCTAGTCCAGGAAGAAAGCTGTAAGTAATACACACACGATGCAGTAATAAGTACATCACAGAATAAGTGCAACTAGGAAACGAGAGTAGCTTCCTGCAGGTTATTTTAGAAAAATAACACTGACAATTTTGTCAGACAACATTTAAGGCTGCCTAAATGATTGTTTAAACTAGGACTTACAGCTGTATATTCTGTATTCTGAAATGGCTTATGCTTCCTACTCTAATTCTGCTCTTAAAAACCTGAGATGTTTTTACTTATTCAGCTTGAGATTTGGAAGTTAACAGTATGTTGAATATTTAAATCTAAGACAGTATAGAAAACTGAGGTAGGAAGTTTTATTCAGTTATTCCTTCTGAGATGGAAAGGGATATTTCGACTGCATTGACAGCCACCACTTCACTCTCACCTTAAAGGTGACCTCATTACATCTATCAGCCATCACATTGCTACTACAATGGGGCTACCTGTCATTAGCTTACTAATATAACAATATCAAGTGTTTGATTTAACCTGTTCAAATACATTTTTCTACGAAAATCAGGAAGTCACTTCCAATTCTACCATTCATAGCTGGATTCTTGACTGCTGCATGTGCTCACAGAAATCATGACTGAAATCTCAGATTATTAAGGCAATTATATTTTTACTTCATGGGATACATTAAAACAACTACTCAGCAAGTACTGTTAAGTCTGCCTCGAAGCGTTCTGACAGGTAGGCGAGTTCTCCCTCTACAATGCACTATGGTCACTTTCACTTACTATATAGAACACAATGCAGATGTAAGAAAGCACTGACTTTTCAAGTCACCTTACATGTTCCACCAAATTCTCAGAGAACAGACTGAGCAATTGGGATAGATAACTGTTCAGTTGAAGACAAGATTATTCATTCAAAGATAGCAAGTTTCACATTTGTATAGACAGATCAGGATATCAAATGACAAATGCAATAAATTAACACTGATAAAAATGCTTAACAGCTATAAAGTTAATCAGAAAGTTGAGAGAGTGCAAATATTTTACATTATTAAGAAAAAATAACCAAGAAAAATTTTCAAGTATCAAAAGCATCATTGTTGAGTGATGCTACTTAAATTCTATTATTGCACAACAGACAAAAGATACAATATCAACCTCTGGGGCCTAAGAAATCTTCTCAAACTATTATGCGTTTTCAAGGAACCATTTCACACTGTTGTTGCATTGTGTATATAAAAAATTATCAGTCTGTTCATTATTTTTAGTGTGTCAATCCAAATTTGTATGCGTTTTAAAAAACTATAACAATTAGGGATAAAATGTTTTAAACACACACATTTAAAGCTAATTTAGGCCTCGTATAATTTAAAGCAGTGTATATAACTTGGAACTAGCCCAATGCAAAGGATTCTCAGTTGTGATTCCTTAGGGCAGTTTTCACTTGTGTAGTAAATTGGGGGTTCAGTGACATTAGTCACATTACAAAAACCCTATTTTTACAAGGATAATGTTAAAAAAAATGCAGTAGGCATACAAAGATTTTTCTTTAACATGCATATAACCATAATGGAAACTCTCCCTACTAATGGACAAGTTCATCTGTGACCAAAGGATTTTTATTCCATATCTTCATCCTTTTTTCCTTGCAAAGAGTCCCTGACAAATCCATTGCCTTATAGCGGCTTAAAGGGAAGTTAGAAGATATTTATCCTTCTTGGCTTGGTATACGCTGGAACCATTGGGCACTCCTGCCCCCTCACATCTGTAATGGAAACAGTTTTCTGAGAATCAGAACTATCAGCATGGACAGACTGAATAGGGCAAGCAAGACTTATTTGTGAGTCCAAAAGGGGTAAGATACGGGCAAGTTTGCATCTCTAAGTGCCCCCAGGAGCAGCCATCCTGTAGAAACAGCAATTCTACACATTTCCCTAAATCTAGTTGATTTTGTCCACCACTAACTTGTGCTTCTTTATAGTACAGTATGCCCTGGTTTAAAAAACAGCTGTTTTCATAGCAATATTTTAAATCTTCACATATCCAGTATCATTTTAGAGATCAGCCGCATGTCCATCAGAAGAGCCAGTCTATAGTTTTCTTAGTGTGTTAATCTTGTTTTGGCCTAAAGTAGTTAACATTGTCTTTGTTTACTTCAGTTGCCATCACTATTATTTTTCCCCCAAAGGAAAGTCAAGTTAGAGTACAGGTGTTGTGTGTTCACATTATCTATGCAGAATAGAACTCTTCATTACTTCACTGCTGTTTAGCTCTCAACACCCATAAAAAAAGTGTCAAAAAACAACCACCACCACCCACCTCGCCTGCACTCTGAACACTGATATTAAAGGTAAAGGACAAAAACTACTGTAGTGAAGTGAAATATTTTGACCATCCCATCAACAGTACATCAGTGTTCCCCCTTCTTAAAGTTACCCTGGTAAGATTCAAATATGTAGTGCATCAATTTTCATATAACTGGCACACATTAAATGAGAGTGGGCTTCAAAAAGCTGAAGTGGGATTCCTAAAATATTTGAATAAATGTAAAGAAACAAATGTTATGAAAAATATACCATCAATTCACCATAAGTTTCACTGAGTAAAAGCCCATTTCAGCCTAGGTTCCTAGCAGCAATGGCAACTGATTTTTTACATGGCTTTTGACTAAAGAAACATTGAGGTATATCTCCAGTTTGAGGATGCTAAAAAACAAACACCCTGCTACCACTTACACAGAGGATTTAGCAAAATAAAATCCAAGAAGCATTCTTACAGTTTCACATGTATATCACTAATGATGGAGTTGCCAGTTGCCTAATGCAGGTAGCACTTTTGATCTTCAAAAGTTGTTACTGTTAAAATTAAAGGTCTGAATTCAGAAAATACTGGCACTTATTGAGAAAACATAGTAAACTTTGCCTCCTCTTAAAAGCTAGCTGCTGTTGTGAGCACCTTCTTGGCTACAAGCAGTAGTGAGATAGACCAAAAGGCAATCGTCCTGCCTGCAGAGATATTGCACTATGGTAGTGCTCTTGACTCGAGGAATGCAGCAGGGTGGTGAAGTCTTGGAGTAAGTAGATTTTTTACCCACACTTAACTCCATACACATAGAAGAAATCCTGTCAGCAAGGGGATCAAGTTAGCCATCAACAGCCAGAGAGTTACAACCAGGCTGGAGGAACAGGAGCACAAATCTAAAGTCAAATATAAAGGTAATACAATTACAAAATACCCACCTAAGACACAGAATAGTGAACAATTTAACAAGCATGGATTTCAGTTAAAAAAAGGCATGAAAACATACAAATTTCATTTGAAACAGTGTCTATGTTAATGCATATTAGCCTTCCATGGCTAGGAACTCTGCAGTAGTAACATGATTAGCCCCTAGGATAGGAAGTGCTTTGTGTTGCTTCTACATCTGATTTAGGATTAGCAGTTAGGAAAATGGTCAGAAAATAGCTGACCACAGCAAGAAAAGGAGCAGGAGGGGTAAAAGTCGGGGTGGGTAGAATCAACATTTTAACAGTGCCTCAGGCTTACACAAGAGTTTGTTTTCTGAATAATTCTGATTTAGATTGCCATAAAAGTAGAACATTGAAAACCAAACCACAGAACTGAGGTAAAGAAAAGAACAGGAAGAAAGAAATAGGGGGAACTGAAGGAGGGAGCTTGCAAAAATACTTGTCCCTCTAAGTTCTCACTGCATGTTTTTCCTACTGATTTATAAGAAGGTGGGTGATACTAACATCACCAGCAGTTTCAGAGATCTGTTCTGAATAATCTCTATACACAAGGAATACAGGATACACTATGTTAAACCTAAAGCAGATACTAGAACTCAAGTTAATTTACCTTATATTAATGTATATAATTTTTTTCATCCTAGAAAAACTTTACAAACTATACACTAGTTCCTTCCCTAACCACTGAAATTTGGTCACTTCCGGGATGAAACAAAAACAGCTGTTTTAACAGTTTGCAACAGAATTATATAGAAATTTAAGGACAGGAGGTGAAGATAAACAGCATATTCAACTGAGACTAGACGGCGAGTTCACAGAGACAATGTAGTTACCCAAGCTGGAATATGGCCAGCATATCTAAGGACTAAGTAACATTTTAGGAGTTATGGGAAAGTAAAAGACGGTTACTCACCGTTGTAACTGTTGTTCTTCGAGATGTGTTGCTCATATCCATTCCAGTTAGGTGTGTGCGCGCCGCGTGCACGATCGTCGGAAGATTTTTACCCTAGCAACACCCGGTGGGTCGGCTGTGGAGCCCCCTAGAGTGGCGCCGTTATGGCGCTGGATATATACCCCAGCCGACCCAGCGCCCCCTCAGTTCCTTCTTGCCGGCTACTCCGACAGTGGGGAAGGGGGGCGGGTTTGGAATGGATATGAGCAACACATCTCGAAGAACAACAGTTACAACGGTGAGTAACCGTCTTTTCTTCTTCGAGTGCTTGCTCATATCCATTCCAGTTAGGTGACTCCCAAGCCCCACCTAGGTGGCGGGGTCGGAGTGAGACATTGCTGTGTGCAGAACCGCTGACCCGAAAGCAGCGTCGTCTCTGGATTGTTGCACCAGCGCATAGTGAGTAGCAAATGTGTGGACCGATGACCACACTGCAGCTCTACAAATGTCCTGGATCGGTACTTGAGCCAGGAAGGCAGTCGAGGAGGCCTGGGCCCTCGTGGAATGAGCGGTGAGGCGTGGCGTCGGTACACCGGCCAGGTCGTAGCAAGCACGAATACAGGACGTGATCCAAGTGGATAGGCACTGAGAAGAGACCGGTGAGCCTTTCATCCGGTCGGCCACCGCAACGAAGAGTTGCGTCGTCTTCCTAAATGGCTTTGTACGGTCAATATAGAAAGCCAGGGCCCTGCGTACGTCCAAAGAGTGTAAACGCTGGTCTTGACGAGTAGCGTGAGGTTTCGGATGGAAGACCGGGAGGAAAATATCCTGGTTCACGTGGAAAGGTGACACCACCTTTGGCAGAAAGGCAGGATGGGGGCGAAGCTGCACCTTGTCCTTGTGGAACACCGTGTAAGGGGGCTCGGATGTCAGCGCCCTGAGTTCCGAGACGCGTCGTGCTGAGGTGATGGCTACCAGGAAGGCTGTCTTCCAAGATAAGTACAGGAGCGAGCAGGTAGCCAAAGGTTCAAACGGAGGCCCTGTGAGCCTGGAGAGGACGAGGTTGAGGTCCCACGTTGGAACCGGCTGTCGCTGCTGTGGGTACAGCCGGTCTAAGCCCTTGAGGAATCTAACGACCATCGGGTTCGAGAAGACCGAGGACGTGAGTTCCCCTGGGTGGAAAGCGGAAATAGCGGCGAGGTGAACCCTAATTGAGGATGTTGCCAAGCCTTGCTGTCTGAGGGACAGGAGGTATTCCAGTATCAAGGGGATAGGAGCCTGCGAGGGAGACGTAGCTCGTTGCTCACACCAGCAGGAGAACCTCTTCCACTTGGCTAAATACGTGGTCCGCGTAGAGGGCTTTCTACTTCCCAGCAGGACCTGTTGGACGGCCTGCGAGCATTGCCGCTCTGAGCGACTCAACCATGAAGCATCCACGCCGTGAGGTGGAGCGACTGCAGGTCGGGGTGACACAGCCGGCCGTGGTCCTGAGAGATGAGATCCCGACTCAAGGGGAGCGTGATCGGCCTCTGTACTGACAGCTCTAGAAGTGTGGTGTACCAGTGCTGTCTCGGCCAAGCGGGAGCGACCAGAATTACCCGTGCATGGTCCCTGCGGATCTTGAGCAGCACCCTGTGGACCAGCGGGAATGGGGGAAAGGCGTAGAACAGATGGTCTTTCCATGCCATGAGGAAGGCGTCCGACCGAGAGCCCGGGGCTCGACCGTGTAGGGAGCAGAATGCCTGGCACTTCCTGTTGGCCCGAGATGCGAACAGGTCGATCTGGGGAAACCCCCACCTCTGGAAAACGGAATAGATGATGTCCGGGCGAATCGACCACTCGTGCGTTTGGAAGGACCTGCTGAGACGGTCTGCCAGCGTATTCTGGACTCCAGGCAGGAATGACGCCGTGAGATGTATCGAGTGGGCGATGCAAAAGTCCCACAGGCGAATGGCCTCTTGGCATAGGGGAGATGAGCGGGCTCCGCCTTGCTTGTTGATGTAAAACATGGCCGTGGTGTTGTCGGTGAGAATCAGCACGCAACGGCCCTGTAGGAAGTTGAGGAAAGCCTGGCAAGCCAGGCGCACTGCCATCAGCTCTCGGACGTTGATGTGCAGGGCTAGTTGGGACGCCGACCACAGGCCTTGGGTATGATGCTCCCCCAGGTGAGCGCCCCATCCTAGAGATGAAGCGTCCGTAACTAGGTGGAGGGAGGGCTGTGGGGCGTGAAAGGGTACTCCTGCACAGACCGCAGTGCGATCCGTCCACCATGTGAGGGAGGCCAAGACTGCGGTCGGAACCGTGACCACTACGCTCAGGTCGTCTCGATGAGGACGGTAAACCGATGACACCCAAGTCTGCAATGGGCGAAGTCGCAGTCTGGCGTGCCTGGTTACGTAGGTGCACGAGGCCATGTGGCCCAAGAGGGCAAGGCATGTCCTTACGGTGGTAGTTGGAAAGGCCCTGAGTCCTTGAATGGCGCTTGAAATGGTATGAAAGCGGCTGTCTGGCAGGATGGCTCGGGCATGTCTGGAGTCCAGGATTGCTCCAATGAACTCTATTCTTTGAGTTGGTACTAGAGTGGACTTCTCTCTGTTGAGTAGAATGCCCAGCTCGTGGAAAGTGCGTGTCACTATGTGGACATGGGCCTGCACTTGGTCTCTGGTGCGGCCGCGTACCAGCCAGTCGTCCAAGTACGGGAACAGCTGTATCCCTTGTCGACGAAGGAAGGCCGCGACGACTGCCAGACACTTTGTGAACACCCTGGGAGCCGAGGACAAGCCGAAGGGAAGGACTGCGAATTGGTAGTGCACCCTGTTTACTACAAATCGCAGGAAGCGCCTGTGAGGCGGATAAATCGCTATGTGGAAATAAGCGTCCTTCATGTCGAGGGCGGCGAACCAGTCTCCAGGATCCAGTGAAGGGATGATGGTCCCCAATGATACCATGCGGAACTTCAACTTTACTATGGATTTGTTGAGCCCGCGCAAGTCTAAGATGGGCCTTAGACCCCCTTTTGACTTGGGTATCAGGAAGTAGCGGGAGTAAAACCCCCTGCCCCTTAGCTCCGATGGAACCTCCTCTATGGCCCCCCTAGCGAGGAGCCCAAAAACCTCCTGTGTAAGGAGTTGCTCGTGAGAAGGGTCCCTGAAGAGGGACGGGGAGGGGGAGTGGGAGGGGGGGGGGCGAGGAAAACTGGAGGGCGTATCCCCTTTCCACCGTGCGAAGGACCCAACGGTCCGAGGTTATACGGGACCAAGCACGGTGGAAGCGGGAGAGGCGGTCCCGGAAAGGGGGAGTCGGATCCTGGGTACCGGTCGTGGTGCCGTCCTCGACCGCACCTTCAAAAGGCTTGTCTAGGCCCTGAAGGTGGCCTAGACTGGCCCTGGTTCTGACCGGGTTGAGGGCCGGTCGACCTTCTCCTACCACCTCGACCCCGCCTCCTAGCAAAGTCCTGTCTTGGACGAGGCGGGGGAGGGTAGAACCGCTGAGGCTGCGGCCTGAAGGGCTTGCGCTGAGGCCCTGGGACATGCATCCCCAGGGAGCGCATCATTGTCCGGGAGTCTTTGAGGTTTTGGAGCCTCGAGTCTGTTTTCTCCGAAAAGAGGCCCTGGCCCTCAAATGGTAGATCCTGCAGGGTCTGCTGCAGTTCCGGAGGCAAGCCCGACACCTGGAGCCAGGAGATTCGGCGCATTGCTATCCCCGACGCCAGGGTCCTAGCGGCCGAGTCCGCTATATCGAGGGACGCCTGTAGGGAGGTGCATGCCACCCGCTTGCCCTCCTCTACCAGGGCCCCAAACTCGTCCCTCGAGTCCTGGGGAACCAGTTCTTTAAATTTCCCCATCGAGGACCACATATTGAAGCCGTAGCGGCTCAGTAGCGCCTGCTGGTTCGCTGCCCGCAATTGCAGTCCGCCAGCCGAATACACCTTGCGTCCGAACAAATCGAAGCGCTTAGCGTCCTTCGATTTGGGCGCAGCGGCCTGCTGGCCATGGCGCTCCCGTGCATTCACTGAGGAAACCACCAGTGAGCACGGTTGGGGGTGAATGTACAGATACTCATGATCCTTTGATGGGACAAAGTATTTTCTCTCAACCCCTCTGGCCGTGGGTGGAATAGAGGCCGGGGTCTGCCAGATAGTAGTGGCGTTGGCCTGGATGGTGCGGACCAGCGGTAATGCCACCCTGGATGGAGCATCCGCTGAGATGATCTGCACTATCGGGTCATGGACCTCCGCAACCTCCTCCACCTGGAGGTCCAGATTGCGAGCCATGCGCCGCAGTAGGTCCTGGTGGGCCCGAAGGTCTATCGGGGGCGGCCCGATGGACGACGTGCCCGCTACGGCCTCATCAGGAGAGGACGAGGAAGATGCCCCCGGTGGCAAGGGGTCCAATGGTTGGTCCTGCTCCAGGTGCTCCTGGTGTTGGGCATCTCCTGCCCCCTGGTCAGGGGCCTCTGCAGGTGCGGGCACTGGAGCCTCCATGTCCCTTGGAGGAGGGCGGGAGATGGTAGACTCCGGGGCCCTGGTGTCCGAACGGCCAGAGCGGGAAGCCGACAGGGGAGCTCCCTGAGCTTGGTGGTAGGCCCAAGGAGTCCAAAAGGACCAATGCGCAGGCCCTTGCATCGGGTCCTCGGTCTCCTGCAGGTGGCCGGGCTCCACCGTCTCAGATGACCGGGACGCCGATCTCGACGGCCACGGCGGTGCCGAACCCGATGCCGTCGGCACCGGATGGTACGGTGCCGATCGGTGCCGACCGTAAGGGGACCTGTCCCTGCGTTGTTCCGGCGAACGGTGCCGGGACCTGGACCGGTGCCGATAGTCCCTCCGGTGCCGGGATCCCGATCTGGAACGTGACGACGATCTGGAGGAGGCGTGGTACCGGGAGCGGCCTCTCGAGCCCGAGCGGCGCTCATACCGGTGCCGGGAGCTGCGCCTCGACCCCGATCGGTGCCGGTCGTCACGGCGGTGCCGGGATGTTGAACGGCGCCGCGAGGAAGATCTGGGCCGCGAGTACGACCGGTGCCGAGGTGACCCTCGGCGCCGGGACTCCGAGCGGCGTCGGGACCTGCTTCGGGATCTGGAGCGGTGCCGAGAGACTCGTGCTGGCGACGGTGGGCGCACCAGGGCAGGCTTGCCTCTGGACTGCAGCACGCGTGGAGCCACCGGTGCCGGGAGTTGCGACGGCGCCGGCTCCGTGAGGGCGATCAGGTCTCTCGCCGTGGCAAAGGTCTCCGGGGTGGAAGGGAGACAAGGTTCCACCACCAGCCTTGGTGGTGAAACAGTCCGCACCGGACTCAACGGCCTCGGTGCCGGAGTCGACGGTGTGGCCGCCTGTCTTTGGCGGTCCAGCTGCGGACGCGGCTCTACCCCCGGCACCGGGGGAGCCTGTATCTTCGCGGCAGCAGCGTCCCGTGTCTTAGCGGTCTTCTTATGGCCCGGCGAAATGGATCGGTGCCGAGGCTCTTTGGGCGGGCGCGGTGCCGACGTCGGTCGGTGCCGGACAGTCTTTTCTGCCGCACCGGTCGGGCCCGCCGGGGCGCTGCGCACCGAAGCGCTCGGTGCCGGGACAGGGTGCGCCGAGGGAGGATCCGGACTCAGCGCCGCCTCCATGAGGAGCTGTCGGAGCCTAAAGTCCCGCTCCTTCCTTGTCCTCGGCTTGAAGGCCTTGCAGATAGGGCACTTATCTGCTGGATGAGTCTCTCCCAGGCACTTCAAGCAGGAGCTATGCGGGTCGCTAGTTGGCATGTGCTTCCCGCAGGACGCGCACGGCTTAAAGCCAGGAGCCTTGGGCATGGGCCCGGCTGCGCGCCGGGGGGAAAAGGGGAAAAACACCCCCTAAACCCCCGATAACAACTTATAACTATATATATATACACACTATAACTAACTACTAACTAACTTGAACAACTATCTATATAACTAAATACAACAAGAGCAAAGAGAAGCTAGGGAGTGTGGAGATCAGCTAAGCCGCGCTCCACAGTTCCAACGACCGTCAGGGGCGGTAAGAAGGAACTGAGGGGGCGCTGGGTCGGCTGGGGTATATATCCAGCGCCATAACGGCGCCACTCTAGGGGGCTCCACAGCCGACCCACCGGGTGTTGCTAGGGTAAAAATCTTCCGACGATCGTGCACGCGGCGCGCACACACCTAACTGGAATGGATATGAGCAAGCACTCGAAGAAGAATATACCATTAGTATGAATAAGGTAAATGTGATTTTCTGTTAACTTTCATTTTAGGAAGTGGCTAGGCAAAATTATTATAAAATGAAAGCTCCAAGTCAGTAAAGGAAGACCACCAGTTATTAACATATGATGCTCATGCAGCCACCTCTCTAGACAGTAGTCATACATGTTCTGTGTTAGCTTATCCCCATGAATTCAAGTTTACTAGTGAAATTACAATTAATCAAAGTACAAACCATTCAAGTTATTTAAGAATAGTTACACTCCTGAAATCCTGTAGCACTTAATATTTTCCAACAACTGACAAAATCCTCTGAAGGTCAGATGTTTTACCTATCTTTATGTCACATAAGCAAATCATAAGGCAACCTACCAATTGATAGTGCCCTTGTTACGTTAGAAGCTGGCGGATCCCGTTCAGGGGGACAGGAATCACAAAAGTCCCAACAAGCTGGACAAATTAGATTTCCAGCATGTACCCATCCATTCATCTGAATGCTAACAGTTAACACTTGACCCGAGCGGCTGCACAAGTATGCTGTGTCCTTGACCCAAACGTTCAGCCCTTTGGGAGAACAAGAAACCTTAAAATAAAGAAACCAAGTTAGGTCTGTTATGTTTAAACATAGTCACTTTATTTATTATCCAAACTTGTTTATAGATTCTTCTAATAAGTAAATATTTTGTTCACAAACTGGCTTGGAGACAGCACAGATGAACTGGAAACCCATACTGCTAATTTTAGAACAATTAACTATTTTAATCTGCTATTTGTTTCAAGGATTTGGTCATATTCTTCTATGCAATTATACTGACTGAACCACTGAATTAAGAATTACTGTAATCATCTGCATACTGCCAATGATTTTATACAAGTGCATTTTCAGTTGTGCTAAGAACATTTTTGAACCCATTCGTTAAGTAGTACAGCCGAGATGATGATTATGAAAAATAACTTGCACAGATCCAGTGCCTTCCACCTAAACTCAATGGGACTCACAAAACAAACTAAGCTAGACATCCTGTGAGGATGACATCCCAATATAAATTACAAAATATAGAAAAATAAGTATTCCTATTTTACAGCTGGGGAAACTGAGGCACAAAGACTACCCTGGACAAGTCATTTATAGGAAGTCTGTGGTAGAGGTAAATAGAACATCCAGATCTGTCCTCTAGCCCTGTTCTTAACCCCAATCTTTTTTTTTATTTTTATTTAAACTATCCACTGGAAATTTAAGTTACATGCTCATGCTAGGAAGCTATTTTTAAAGCATGCATAAAATTATTGGGTTATTTAACAAAAACAGCTTGTGATATTAAGTCATCTTAACCTATTTTTTAAACAAATTCTGAGTTTTTATAAAAGGTGTGATTTTTTTTAAATGGTTTCTAAATTTATTTAAAATGTCATCCTTACCTGATAACATCCACTGCCCCAGTCAGGGTAACTGAGCCTTTTTCTGCACTGTGCCATGACAAATGCTGATTTCTGAATGAGACACACAGAGTTTGGTCCATATTTCTCTGCACCGTAGTTTTTGAAAGGATCTGAAGGAAAGAGGAACACATTTTTGAAGAGTTAACCCAGCTTTGTTAAATAAACATCAGCAAGCCCCTATTGTGAATTAGTAAAGAAAATTAACTTCAAGTACTAAACGATCTATAGGGCAATTTCAATAAACACCAGAAAGAAAACTTAACTCTTCAGACTGCTCATAGAATGTTAGACTAAAATGCCAGGACACGATTTCCACAATTTGTGAACATTATACTACCTGAAACAGCTTAACATCCATCGGAATAAATCAACTTCTGTTAACATTAAACTGAACAAGTCTTCCACCTGACTACAAATGTATGCCTGCCAGCTAAACTGTAGATTAGCAGTGCTAATTTACCATCCCAGTAAGGCCACTGAGTCACTGGCGGTGTAAAAACTCAGACTATCAAAGTAGGCAGGAGTGCAGCAGGAGGATCAGATGGTAACTGTTCAATATAATTTACCCCACTCCATCTATACATGAAGAAAAATGGAGTCTAAAAGGAAAGTGTTAGGAGTGGAGAAAGGAAGGGGAAAAAATGGTCTGTTGAATAAACCAGACAACAGAAAGTGGACTAAAAACAGCAAAGAACCTTGTTTTCTAAAGAATGTTGTTAACTGGAAATGTGTGGGTATCCAGATAAGACCATCCTTGTGAATTCTGCAACAAGAACAATACTTTGAAAATATACTTCATTAGAAACTGACCTGGCTGATTTTCCATTATTCTACAATCTGAGCTGCGTTGAAATTCACCACTTAAATGCCAACTAAATTCTTGACTAAAGGGGCAATAGTCAGCAATTTCTACTGAGCCACCATAATAAGGCAAATCTTCTGATGGAACTCAATAAAAAATGAAAAAAAAAAGAAAAAAAAAAAAAAAAAAAAAAAAAGGAGGCGGTGAAATAGTTTGTGCAACAAGGACAAGAGTTTATTTAGCTTTTATTGAATCTATCATCATTACAAATTTCCAACATCAGTGGTGCTGCACATAGGCACTGGTAACAGGAGTCTATGTTTAAGTAATGCCTTTGAGCCAGAGGGATCCCAAAGCACTTTAAACTCTGCACGTATATACACATATGCACACATGAGAGAAATCACTTTTCCTACCAAATCATAGCCATCTCCGGAGTGAAACATCACTATTTTAGCAATGCACAGCAATATCAGGTAGCCGTTTAGGTAAGGAACTGAAGAAATACCATATCTAGAAAATCTTCCAGGGAAATTTATGTAGGAGCCTGCAATGATTTACAATGGAATTTGGACAGAGTGCCAGATTAACATCATTGTTCTTTCAAAAGAGACCAACATGAGATTTCTAATGACCATAAATGGTCAGCATGTCATTTGTACTTCTCTGAAATAGGGCACTTTCAGCAACACACATCCCCTTCACATACTGTATTAGTTCAGTACCAACGCAGAGGGAAGGAATGCTACACCCTAAGTCACCACTACATCTTGCACCACCTAAGTCATCGGTTCTCAAACTGTGGGTTGCAACTCCGTTTTAATGGGGTTGCCAGGGCTGGCGTTAGACTTGCTGGGACCCTGGAGGCAGGGCTCAGGCTTTGGCTCCAGCCCTGGGCGGCAGGGCTGAGGTTATAAGGCCCCTTAGGCTTCAGCTTTAGTCCCCTCGCCCAGGGCAGCAAGGCTCGGGCTTCAGCTTTGACCCCCCCCCCCCCCCCACCCGGAGCGGCGGGGCTCAGGCTTCGGTCCCCTCTCATGAGGTCGTGTAGTAACTTTTGTTGTCAGAAGGGGGTCATGGTGCAATGAAATTTGAGAACCCCCTGACCTAAGTAACAAAAATAATTTGAGCTGTTCCATGGAGTAAGATGCACTATACCTGATACTCATGAGGTAACTGCTTTGGGAATTTCTGTAAATTGCACACTGCTACTGCCTTTTGGTCCTGTCTACAAGTTAACTGCAGTGGATTACTCCTCAGAGTGTCACAGTATGGACTCACCAATTGCCTCCTTCAAAAGAGGAAAGAAAATCTCAGTTGAATTAGATCATATTTATATCAATTGCTTTTGCTAGGCAATTCTATAAGGCCTGGTGTCACTTTTCCCCACTTCATATGGTCCATCATGTATCGGGCACTGGTCTCTTAGTTGGCTGCCAAGCTCATTATTGCCATTTGATTGGTCTTGAAGGTCATGGGAAATGCATCTATAGGTTTACCAACACAATAGTCTCTAAATCAAAGTCTTTCATCTAGGATGCACTTACTCATCTAGATGGTCTAATTTTTTGCTAGTCTTTACAAATTTTTAAACCGATGAAAACATTAAAAATGTGAGAAGGCCTGCCTAATACAAAGTATAACGAGATATGCCCCCTATGGGTCAGAGCAGTATCTAAAACACAAACTAGGCCTGATTTTGAAAAGGACCTTAACCCACTCTCCACTGTTGCAGGTGCAATCAGATATTTAGACTTCTAAGCGTGATTTGCACTTCCAATTCAATGGAGGCAAAGTAATAGCATGGCCACTTTTCAAGATTAAATATAAAAAAATTGAAGACAGTAAAAGCAAAGATATGAGTGATAGAAGCCAATCAACTATTATTCTTGCACAACCTAATAAAAGTGAGTTCATGGTCTACACAACACAAAAGAGAAAGATGTAGATGAATACTGACAAAACAAATACTGACAAACTGCAAATTCGGCAGGTTTCAAAGCATCATATTGAGATACATGATGAAGGGAAGCAGCGAACATCTACAGAGGATACTTATTGTCAAGGCCATCTGTCCTCTGTTGCAAGCCAAATGATTTTGTAGCACTCTGGTGAGACAGACTGGAAATTTTTTTGCAGGTAAAATTGAACTATCTTCCAATTTAAAAGCTACCACTCCTTGCGATGAGTGGAATAGTTCATTGGACTTTTGGCTCACACCACTAAACAGCCACACATTTCAAAAAGTTTATAATATGAGTGAAGACAAACACACAAACAGATGAACATGAACACTGAGTTTAAAAAAATAAAAGTGTGTTCTTACTTCTCTTTCTTTTGGTCAATCCAAAATTTACAGCTTTTCATCACAAAGTCACAGCCTTTATCACGTCCCCAGTCTAATTTCTCTGCCATGCTGTAATTGGCTTTATACCAGCTGTAAAGATATTTTGAAACAGAAATACAACTGAGAAACTGGTCTTCTGGCCAATCAGCAGAAGACAGGTTAAAAAACTTGATAACCTTCTTATTCATTCATTGAAAATTTTAATGTAGGTTATGTCCCTTGTATATATAAATTATATGAATATTTCCTTCTGACTTTACAAATAGTGAATTAAAGCTAAAACTTGTCTTATTTGTTAATGTGCATCTCTTGCTGAATAAATGATGACTACATCTGGTATTGTACAATGGATAAAATGTGCCAAAGAAATAAGAGCAATTGGCCAAAGGGCTTACATATATAAAGGGGAAATTCTGCTCTCATATCCACAGGTTAGATCTTGACTGATTCTGCCCTCCTTCCAGGCATGGAAATTCTATACCCGTAATAAGAACTGAATGACAGTGAAGAGCTGCTATGTAGCTTTTCAAGGAGAATTTTACCCTAAAGGCATAATTTGATGATACAAACAAGGGTGTGGTCTTTATGGATAGAGTAATGATAGATGGCATTCAAGAGACATCTGAAGAAAAATGAAGATAACATAGTGCTATATCGAGCATCTTTAATTATTAACTTTTTACATAAATCAAGCTGTATTCATTCAATTGCAACATCTCTAAGTGCATGAACTCCACAGTACTTTCATTGCTTATAGCTTGAAAACACACAGGTCTGAAACTGAAGACTAACAACATTTGGTCTTTTCACTCTTACCCTGTATCCTCCATTAACGCTAAGGTAATCCGGGAGAAGACCCTGTTCTGTGTGTGGGATCCAGTCATTGCCTCATTCTGAAAAGTGATTCACAGTGTTTTCAGAGCACATTTTCCCTGACAAGTATTTTAAAAAAAGTTATTTCTCCATACTGATAAAATTTCACTGCAAGTTAAGAGACACCAAAGTATTTTCCAAAAAAGTTTAAATTTTTCTTACCAACTTCCCTAGAAAATCTTGAAATTGAAATGTGTTCCCTTATTGCTTACCTCCACAACACACAACATTGATTTGATATTGTGGCTTTACCCATGACTACGAGGTCACTAACATTTGTACTATAAAAGGAACAATGCTGCACAGACAATCCAATAGGCTAAACGACCACTGTCTTAGTGAGAGAAAAGTCAATTGCCTTGTTCAGAGGAATTTCTGCACAGGGGAGATGGCAAAACCCAGACTGGAGGGGATCATGGAAATACAGATGAGCACTGAACCAGGTTACCTAGGGAAGATGTGGATCCCCTGTTATTGAAGGTTTTTAAGAACAGGTTAGACCAGTGGTCCCCAGACTTTTCAGGGTCGAGCCAAGGCTGCGGCTCCTGTGTGGGGTGGGGGTGAGGACATGCGAACAGGGGTAAGGGGGCTGAGACTGGGGCCACAGCTGGGGGGAGGGTCTGGAGCTGGGGCCAGGGATGGAGCCAGAACCACGGCCGGGCCGCACTGGGGGCCGGTATCTGGGGTCCTGGCAAGGGGCCGAAGCTGGGGCTGAGTGCGGGACCACGGCTGAAGTAGAGCTGGGGACAGAATGGGACTGAGCAGCGCTCCCTCCCCACCTCCTGTGTGGGCTGGCCTGGGCCCCACTGTGCCCCCCAGAATGTTCTCCACACCCCCTTAAGGGGGGCATGCCCCATAGTTTGGGGACCACTGGGTTAGACAAACACCTGTCAGGGATGTCTAGATATATTTAATCCTACCCTACGGAGAAGGGCTAGATGATCTCACAAGGTGCCTTCCAGCCCTACATTTCTATGATTTTATGAAGTCAAGGTAGTGACTAAACTGCACGCTCCAGGATTTGAGACAAAAAGGTAGAAGGAGAGGGGATGACAAAAAGATAAACTGGCTCAAAGGAAGTTCCACTCCCCTCTCCTCCCAGATACACTCACTCAGTAAACAAAGATCAAGTTCAAAAGCGCCCTTATAAATGTAGTTTTCTTATGAAGAGACTACTTGCTACAGAAGTACATAAAACAAATTAAACTAGGATCACTGCATAGCTGTATTGCCCTGTAGAGTTTATTAGTGTAAGTTGTGGAAGATAGGTAAAGAACTATAGAAAAGTGAACCTCTAATTGTTTGTCATTTGATACTGTCTTTCTAGGCACTGGTGAACCTTGTGCTCTGAGAATTAAGAGTTTGGAGAATGGTATGAGAGTTGTTTGGGAATGAATAGAGGTTTAATGTGCACAGCTTAGAGTTATTTGCAATGTATTTCAGTTAAGTTTAAAACTGGTGGGTTTCCAATAGATCTACAGATACACTTGAAAAATTGAAAATCTACATTTTTATCCCCTTTAGTGATAACATAAGTATATTTAGAATTATTTACCAGCACTAACCTCCAACAATCGCTTTTCCCAGTGATTGAGCTCAGTACCCATGCCACCTTGGTTTTCAAGCTCCATTCCCTCTAGAATTGGACAGTCAAAATGTTTCCGAGCTTCTTCCTACAAAACAGAACTGTTGTTACAACCTCATTCTCCAAATACTGAGAAAAACTCAGATATGCACTTCTTAAGATTAAAAAAAAAAAAAATTTTAATGTCCTCCTTTTACCAGAGTTTGCTATTTTCCTTTGAATGCAGAAGGACTTCTCCTTATTGAAGCTTTAACAAGCTAGTGAGTCTCCCAGTACTGAATCCAGCAATCTGGCTGTTAGCCACTAATAAGTAACATACCATACTACCTATTTATTCCAAATTCATATCAGGATCATCTGAAAACAATGTTTCACAGAAAATAAGCTTTCATCAAATAGTCCCCCTTCACGATTAGGTATGCTCAAGAAATTCTGAACAAAACATTTTCGCATTACAAAACAGGGTTTTGTCAAAATCAACATTTTCCATGAGAAGAGAGATTCTGGTGGAATTTTCCATCAGAAAAATCAAAACATACCGTTATTAGCCAACAGGCATCACAATGTTGTCTAAGATTTGTGGCCTGCCCTCCCAGCTCCCACCTCACAATATGACAGTAACCAGGTTGAGCAGAAGCCCCTTACTATAGTTAGCAATACAGCTTTAAATATAGCTTTAAGAGTTGGGCTACAAATAGTTATTTCAATTTCCTAAAAGTAAAGGTTAGACTAGAATTTCTCCAAACAATCTAGAATACCAAAATTAATGTTTGGGTGAAAGTACTGTTGTCCTGTTTCATTTATTAATTGGTTTCTGTCCTCAAATTCCTTAAAAATAAAAGTTAAAATTTGAAAGGAAAGACAGAGAGTGGGGTGGAGGGAGCATGGAAGAGAAAGGGTCTCAAACATTTTTGAATAAAGTTCTAAAACAAGAGGAAAGGTGTGATGAAATTTTTCAACTCTGACACTGCATTGTAGGCGGAATTAGGAGAACATGGAAACAAGTAGTATTTAAGTGGGAAAGGAAAGGTATACTAGTCATATGAAAACAAAACAAAACATGAATATTGAACAGAGAAAGGATTAAGAGCCTTATCACTTAAGTCAATAGCAATTGTGAGTGATCAAAGCCTCAGGATCAGACTTTATGGAAACAAGATGTGAATAGGATGGAATGGTCCATTTAATCACTACCAAATCTGCTTTAGTCTTCTACTCTATCCTTCATGGCATCTCTACCCAACCCCTACATTTTCTCTTCGTATTTCAATTATTTCTCCCCTTACACCTCAAGGCCAATTAACTGTTTTCCATCTTAAATATCCCTTAATTAACTAGGTGTATGATTTTCTTTAAAGTTTGACCCAAACCAGGTTATGTGGTCAAGAATTCTTTTATTTTCTTTTTAGTATCCAGTAAATTAACGTTTTTGTTATCAACAAGATGGTAATGACTGAAGTTCAAGTATCTGATGGTAATCAGGACAGATACACTATGAAAGAAGTTTAAGTTAATCTGTACTTACAACTACTCGAGGTGTTAGAAGAAGAAATACATCATGGCGCAGCATCTTATTACCTCGTATATCCCATAACCTCACTGCTTTATCAACAACCTTATTGCTCCACTGATACAAACCTAGACTGTAAGGAGAGTGTTTTAATTAGAGATGTTTTACCAGAATCTAAGCAATAAACCTAGGCTACACTCCAAAACTGAACATTACCTTCCATAAATGAACAGTGCTCAGTATCCTCTTAATATGTACTCTAATTCTTTATGAAAATGAAGTAATTTAACTGGACAACTTTCCTCCTTAGTAATATTCTTCCAAATTGTAAGCCTAATTTGCATTTTGTGATAAGCCAAACTGAAGAGCTTTACTAAGGAGATATTTTCAGAATAATTATGCACTAATAAAATATATTGTAATAAATATCACAAGCTAAATATGAGTCAACAGTGTTACACTGTTGCAAAAAAAGCAAACATCATTCTGGGATGTATTAGCAGGAGAATTGTAAGCAAGACACGAGAAGTAATTCTTCCGCTCTACTCTGCGCTGATTAGACCTCAACTGGAGTACTGTGTCCAGTTCTAGGCACCACATTTCAGGAAAGATGTGGACAAATTGGAGAAAGTCCAGAGAGGAGCAACAAAAATGATTAACAGTCTAGAAAACATGACCTATGAGGGAAGATTGGAAAAAAAAATGGATTTGTTTAGTCTGGAGAAGAGAAGACTGAGAGGGGATATGGTAACAGTTTTCAAGTACATAAAAGGTTGTTACAAGGAGAAGGGAGAAAATATGTTAACCTCTGAGGATAGGACAAGAAGCAATGGGCTTAAAATGCAGCAAGGGCAGTTTAGGTTGGACATTAGGAAAAACTTCCTAACTGTCAGAGTGGTTAAGCACTGGAATAGATTGGCTGGGGAGGTTGTGGAATCTCCATCATTGGGGATTTTTAGGAGCAGGTTGGACAAACACCTGTCAGGGATGGTCTAGATAATACTTAGTCTTGCCTTGAGTGCAGGGGACTGGAGTAGATGACTTCTCGAGGTCCCTTCCAGTTCTATGATTCTATATTTAAAAACCTTGGAAGATGGACATCTTATACTGAGTAAATTCAATTACAATGATATTTGACATGTGATACATCATTGTGATCTGAGTAAACTCAATACAAGATATATATGAAGAATAAACCCGGATTCAGCAAGGTACTTAAGCATATGCCTAAGTTTAGTCATGAATATAGTCAGTGATGAGCTGCCAAAAATATTAACAGGTTCTCTCCTCCTCATCCCACGAGGGGCTCATGGCCCCCCCCGGGACCCCTGCCCCATCCAACCACCCCTTCTCTCTGTCCCCGACTGCCCCTGGAACCCCTGCCCCCCACTGCCCCATCCAATCCCTGCTCCTTCCTGACTGTGCCCCCCCCCCAGGACCCCTGCCCCCATTCAATACCCCTGTTTCCTGCCCTCTGACCGCCCCAACCCCTATCCACCCCCCCACAATCCCCCAAACTCCCCTGCCCTCTTCCAACACCCCCTCCCTGCCCCCTTACCATGCTGCCTGGAGCCACTCAGCTGGTGCCGCGGGGCCCGAGCCAGGCCAGGGCCGGGCTAGGGTGCTGGGCCGGGGCGTTCGGCCAGGGCCGGAGCGCTTGGCCGGGACCGGGCCAGGGCTAGGGGAGCTGGGGTGCCGTGGGGCCGGGGCTGGCACTGGCGCCGTGGGCACATGGCTGGGGCAGGGATCGGGCTGGGGCGCTTGGCTGGGGCCAGGCCGGGGATTGGGGCGCTCGGCCGGGACCGGGGTGGGGCGCTCGGCCAGGGCCAGGCTGGGACCGGGGAAGCCAGGCCGGAGGGAGCCACTCGGTCAGGGCCGGAGCCAGGCTGGAGGGAGCCGTTCAGCCGGGCTGGGCTGGGCCGGGCCTCGCCTCCTTGGAGCCCTCCTCACGCCCCCCCGCCCTGGGCTGGCTCCAGGCACCAGCCCACCAAGCTTGTGCTTGGGGCGGCACCTGGAGGGGGGCAGCGCGGCGCTCCAGCCGCCGGGGACTCCAGGGAGAGAGGGGCCACGGCCGGGCTCGCCGCCCTCCCCCCGGGAGAGCGGCGAGCCCCAGCTGGGGCTCGCCGCCCTGCCCCCTGGCAGCCGGGGGGAGAGCGGAGCCCCAGCCGGGGCTCGCCAGCTTCTCCCCGGCGCTCTGGCCGCCGGGGGGAGAGCGGAGCCCCCGCCGGGGCTCGCCGCCCTGCTCCCAGGGCTCCGGCTGCCCTCCCCCCTGGCGCCCTCCCCCCGGCCGCCTGGGGCGGCAAAAAAGCCAGAGCCGGCCCTGCCCCCGCCCCAGCTTACCTGCCTGCTGCTTCTTTCAGGCTTCCCGTGAACATCTGATTCGAGGGAAGCAGGGGAGGGGGAGGAGAAGGGGGGGTGGAGCGTTCAGGGGAGGAGGGGCATGTGAGCTGGGGCTGGGGCAGGGTGGACAGCTGCCCAAACCTTTGTTAAATAATGCCCTTTTAGAACCGGTTGTCCCAGAACAACCGGTTCTAAAAGGGCTTCTAAATTTAACAACCGGTTCCTATGAACCGGTGGGAACCGGCTTCAGCTCACCATTGAATATAGTATCACTGATTTCAGTAAGATTACTTACGTGCTTAAAGTTAGGTGTATGTTTAAGCACACCACTGAACTGATCCACGGTGATGAATCATGTACTCCTCAGAGGCAAGACCCCAGTATTCCTGAGAGGACTGCAGGATAATCTGGATTGCAGTCCTGAGAGGACTGCAGGGGAGAAGGGATAGCTCAGTGGTTTGAGCATTGGCCTGCTAAACCCAGGGTTGTGAGTTTAATCCTTGAGGGGGGCATTTGGGGATTTAGTTGGGGATTGGTCCTGCTTTGAGCAGGGGGATGGACTAGATGACCTCCTGAGGTCCCTTTCAACCCTGATATTCTATAACCTAGAGTATTATACAATAGTTGTCCATTACTGAACACACAGAATAATAATACTGCAGACTTATGAACCACTGGTGTTCTACTGTAGTACTTCAACGACAGGAAGGCCCTTAGTTAACTAACTATTGGTGGTATCAGTTAAGGAATAGACATGAAAACTGACCAAATTACTGCAGATTAAGGTTTAGGTCAAATTTGAGATCTTATTGAAAAATGAAGACAGTCACATTTCAATATGACAGGACCTCCAACTCTTTGCGGTCTAGGAAGATTTCATATATTCAGAATCCCCAAATTTGAATAGATTGCCCTTGAATCGCTAGCAGGTGAAGTGGTCAGTTTAAGCAAAATTGATAGGATTCTGTCAATGTTTAATCAGCACAGTTTAATTGTAGGCATTACTGCTATTTAGCATTACGTATAGTGTAGAGGAATGGGGGCAATAAAGCTGAAGTTAAGCTGCCAGATCCAATAGACCCTATGTGACTAATTTGGAGTTGCTCTGTAATACTTTATGAATACAGTATATTGACCTGGTTACTGGGCTGTTAATAGTATGAATATTTTGGTTTAATAGGAGGCTGTGGGGAATCGCAAGCCGAAGAGAAAGAATGGCTCAAGATAAGCAACTTCTCAGCAAACACTTGAGAGTTAAGAGACAATCCCAGGACAGGAAAAGGCTGGGAACACAGCAGGTCAAAAGAACTCTGGCTGGTTTAAAAAGGAATGCTCTCTCAGAAAGGGGAGTAGTTCCGGGGAAGCAGACAAACACACAGACACCCCACTGCTTATAGAGTATTTATTTACAATCCTTTTTCTCTAAATCAGTGGTCCCCAAACTTTTCACAGTCTGTCCCACCTTACCCCTGCCCGCCCAAGCCAGGAGTGGGGCCCCGGCCTGGGGTGGGGGCACAGACAGGGGAAAAGGAACTGAGGCTGGGACTGGGACCATGACCAAGAGCGGAGCCACAGCCAGAGGCCGAGGCTGGGGCTGGGAGTGGAGCCGCAACTGAGAGCCATGGCTGTGGCAGAGGTGGGTGGCACGCCCTCCCCATGCAGGCTAGCCCAGGCCCCACCACCCTGAACATTCCTTTGTGCCCCCCTCTGGGGGGCATGGTCCACAGTTTGGGGACCACTGCTCTAAATTCTTTGTTCCTACTGCTAAAGCAAAAAATACTTTGATTTAAGGAGGATGTACCACTGGTCACAGCCTCCCAAAGGGAAGAATGGCACAACAGATACCCCTGCAGGTTTGGCTGAATTTGGGTACGAATGGTTAATACACAGTGTACTACAGCCCAGCGCCCAATCTAAGAGTGGGAGAACTGTAAAACTATTCTGAAATAGGTGAAGGCATGAGGCCTGACACCTGAGGGAGTGCACCCAGAGAAACCACTAATGGAGGCAAAGATGCAGGTAGCCCTGTAATTGACATCCTAAAGCTGACACCCCCTCCCCCGTTTGGTTGGGGGTGTGTGTGTGTGATATATATTTAACACAAAAAAGCATAATGCCACAAATGAAACAACTCTACAACAAATGAAACTAATGTTTGAGTGTGAAGGGAAAGAACATTTCTGCAAATGAAACAACTCTGACTTTCAAGAGGCTGACAGCCAGAATATATTCTTGCAAAAATGAAAGGACACTGTCAAGTTAACAAACCAAGAGGATTCAGAGATTTAAAAATATACCTGTCATTAAAAGGTGGGAGCCCATCTGCATATCTTGCTGTCAAAGGATTTCCATCATCATTGTGATAAAATGCAAACAGCCCAGCAGAGAAACCCTTCAAAAAGGAAAATAAAAAGCATTTTTAGACAATACTAATCCATCTAGAATGCTAAAAGCCATTAAGAGACCAATATACAACCCCCAATATATATATATTGAGAATATTATACCTGAAGGCAATTAGCACAGATGTTGAAAGATGCAAACTAAGTGCATTCCTTTTTATATAAACTAGCTGGGAGAATGTAAGGAAATGACATGTTAAAATATCAAATCTTACCAGTGCATGAATAATTTCATGTTTCACTGTAGACAGCATGCCAATAAATTCCTGAGCTTGAGTAGAAATCATATTTGGACACAAATTAGCATATCCTGCTACTGGCCTGGAAGACAAACATTGCTTTGTTTTATAAATTGGATTTTGATTAAATGCTGGGCAACTTTAAAAAAAAAAAAAACACATTAAATATGAAGGTAACAAATTAAACCTAAAAAACACTCATCTGATTTAATGCAAATAACTTTTCACCCTCTTTTGGGGATAAATCCTTCCATGTAATGTTTTTCCTAACTAGATAGATTACCAGCAATAGCACGGCGCACACACACACACACACACAGCATGCAAAAAGTGTGTAATTATTGGAGGTCAATAAGTTAACCTAATGGTTTTCAACCTTTATTTCATTTGCGGACCATTACAAGATTTCGAATGAAGGTGTGGACACCTTTGGAAATCAGACAGTCTGTGGGCTCACAGGGGTCCATGGACCACAGGTTGAAAACCACTGAGTTAACTCATTAAATAAAAGAATTCCAATCTAGCAGCAGATACTGCACAACTGAAGCTCAGGGTCAGTCAGTCAGTTTCCATTACAAACCTTCTGTTTTATAGCCATAATAAGAGACAGAGAAAACAGACAACCAGTTATCTCTTAAAACCTCAAATGGAGGGTAAGGAGTATTATTTCAGCTCCTTTACTTGACCACCCAAAATAAATCACCCCCCGCACACACACTATTTAAAAATAAAATTAAAAATTAGGTCAAGCTATTGCTTTATACAGTACTGCAGAACTATGTCCCACAAGGCCAGTATTTGTTCTTAAAAACTGACTTGTTGCAGCAGAAACATAGACCTCTCTTCTACCACCCCTGGGAGCTCTAGGGCATTGGTTTTCAAACTTTATGTATTGGTGACCCCTTTCCCACATCAAGCCTCAGAGTGTGACCCCCTTTATAAATTAAAAATGGGGGGGGTAATTTAATTTAATGGGGGCTCTGGGCTGTCAGCCCCATGGAGCTGACAGCTCACAGCCCCCTGTAACCACCTTGCGACCCCCTGAGGGTTCACGACCCCCCAGATTGAGAACCCCTGATCTATTTTAAAATAAAGAGATTTTCATTCTGCTTAAGCTTGTAAAACTTCAGGCAGAAGCAGAGGGATGGGAGCTAGTTGTCTGCATGAAAATTTAAGACGAAGTGCATCACTGAAATAGGGTGACCAGACAGCAAGTGTGAAAAATCGGGACAGGGGGTGGGAGGTAATAGGCTTCTATATAAGAAAAAGCCTCAAATATCGGGACTGTCCCTATAAAATCGGGACATCTGGTCTCCTTACACTGAGGTCAACTTCCATGAGGCTCCACATAGATGATAATGGATACAATTGCAAGATCAAGGTGCACATAATCTGCAGATAAGGGGCCAAATCCTACTCCCATTTAAATTAGCAGAAGTTTTGCCATTTACTTCACTGGAAGCTTTATACGGTATGCGTATTAAGGAAAGAAGTTTAGCTTTGACTTGGTATGCCGCAGCTTCTCTGGATTTCGTGTAGTTTGATTTGTGTGTGCGCACGTGCACATTAATAAGAAAGTTTAGTTTATTTTAATAAATATTGAAAATATTTCTGTTAGCATAATTTGTACTTGACAAATAATATTTAAGCAAAATATTGCTTTGCAAAATCTCAAAGTATACTGTGTCAAGGAGAGACATGAGAATGAATGTTTTGGTTCTTAACATGTAACCTGTCTGCACTACCATGTTCCACTATAGTGGAGTCATAGAGTTTAAGGCCAGAAGAGACCACTGGGTCATCTAGTCCAGTGGTTCTCAACCAAGGGTACATACACCCCTGGGGGTACACAGAGGTCTTCCAGGGGGTACATCGACTCATCTAGATATTTGCTTATTTTTACAACAGGCTACATAAAAAGCACCAGCGAAGTCAGTACAAACTAAAATTTCATACAGACAATGACTTGTTTATACTGCTCTATACAATATTTATATTCCAATTGATTTATTTTACAACTATGTGTTAAAATTAGAAAGTTCAGTAATAGTGTGCTGTGACACTTGTCTTTTTATGTCTGATTTTGTAAGCAAGTAGATTTTAAGTGAGGTGTGATTCGGGGGGGAAACAAGACAAATCAGACTCCTGAAAGGGGTAAAGTAGTCTGGAAAGGTTGAGAGCCACTGATCTAGTCTGAACTTCTCTATAATAAAGGCCACCAACATCATCCAGCACTCACACGCTAAACCCAACAACCAAAATTAGACCTAAGTATTACAAGTCACAGGAGACTGGACTGTTGTGTGCTATAGGCAGAGAATAAGAGGGACAGAGGTGAATCAATGCCTGAGGTCCCTGCAATGGCAGGGAACGGATTAAAAAGGATATACACTCAGATAACCCCACAAGTGACCCGCACCCCTGCTGCAAAGGAAATTGCTAACCCCTGAGGTCACTGACAATCTTACCTGAGGGAAAATTCCTTCCCAAACCTACATATTGTGATCAGTTAGACCATAAGCACAAGAGCAAGAATCAGCCAGCTGAACACCTGAGAGAGAGAGAATGCTCAGAGCTACATTGGGGCACCAGCCCACCACATCCAGTGTCCCATCTCTGATGCTTCAGTGCAAAAACCCAGAATACCTAGGGGAGTCCCTTCTAGACTCGTGCAGGTGACCAGCTAAAATCACGAAGCATGAAATTTTAGGAACATAAGACGTAAACCAACAACCCATTACACTCAGCAGAACAGACATATCTAGTGAGTTCAGCATAAATGAATGCAAAGACCTGAAAAAATTACTACTCAGTAAAAATTAGCCTGGAATGAATTTTTACCTGTCCATTTCTGCTTCCAGTTGGCAGTAGGCTGCATATGCAATAATATTTTCCTGACCACATCTTTCAGTAGTTAGAGCACTGACATAAAGTACAAAATCGGCATCTCGAACTCCTTCTTGGTCTGGTAAGCCAGCAGGTCCACACCCGTTTTGACTACATACCCTACATTGCTATGATAATGCAATTAAAATGGGAAATATGAAATAATTAGCCTAAATAATTTAAATTCTTAGAAATGTAGTATGCCAATCTTAAAGCCATTCACAAATATTTGTTCTTTTAAGCCAAGTAAAGATTAGAATCCCTGCTGTGGACTGGGTGAATACACTAGGGCCAAAGTTTTAAAAAGTGATTAGTGATTTTGATTCCTCAGTTTGAGTGGTGCCCAATACGAAGTGTACTAAAAAGGCGGTGATCAGCCCTTTCAGAGTCAGACCTTTTTATGGTGTCTCCAACTTGGACATCCAAAAACCGAGACACACTTATCTCTAGAAGTTCTGACTGTATTTTATATAAGTGTGTCCCTTGATTCATTTTAATGAAATTTCATTTAAAAATAAACTGAGTAAAAGTGCTACACAATATGTTTGAAAAATGGTATCAAGTGTGTAAAGCTACAATGATCAGTACAAGTAAGAGAAGTGCTAATCATGTATTTTAGTATGAATCGAAACAGCCAAGTGAGAAAATATATTGTGTCAACATGACTTCAATAGAAGATTTGGATGAGTAAGAACTTCAAAACTGGACCCTATGATGGCACATTAATTCTAGAAAATTGGACACACTGAATAAGGAGTATTATAAATTGGCTTTAGAACTCTGGTAATATCTGGGGCTTAATATTCAACAATGTCCTTTCTGAATCTATTTTCCTTAGTATTCGTAAAATTTCTATCGCATAATTTTGACACGCTCCACAATGCAATTACAGCTATTTTTGTAAGGATTAATTCACTTGACTTTTGGCCCTATAATATAATCAGAGAAACTCTGCTATTGCCTCAGATTGTATTGTGTTTTATTGCTCAAATCTGATCACCTCCCACAAGTAAAAGCTACATATAAAAGGTCAAACATATTAATATTAACTTTAATTAGTAATCTTCACAAACCATAAAACTTAGACTGCTAAGTAGATGTCACTTGGTTTGAACTACCTGTAAGTGTTCCTCAGGAACTATAACTGGGCCACATCTTGTGTGTTCTGCACAGGCTCGTTGGCAGTATCTATGAGGGTCACCTTGCTTCCTTAAATACTCGTTTGTTGCGCATTGCCTTCAATTAATTTAGATTACAGTCAAAATTTTATAAGTGAAAAGGCAAGCTGTAAAATAATTCATGGCAGCTAAAGATACTGAAATAAACAGGTGGTACAATATTACTGTGTAAGGCATTAGTATAAGAAATATTACTTGCAAGAGGTTACTATTACACTAGTGGAAAAACAAGACATTGTTCCACATTTATATTTAAGTTCACTCAAACTATTTTAAATATCAACATAGCAAACAATAGTAAACAAACTTCACTCACCTGCTTAGTGAAATAGTACCTGTTGGTTTGCGAACTTGAAAAGTCTTTTCCAAATAAGAAATAGCTTGTGGGAAAAGTTTGTTCTAAATTTAATGAAAACAAAAATACATACAATGGATTCCTTATTGCAATACAAGTACAAATGCATCCTAGGAGCACTAACTCTCACATTACAGGGCATTTGCTAAACATGAAGGCACAGCAGAAGAATGGATGGCATGACATGAAGACTTGCTGAAGTCATAAGTGCAGCTAAGCCACTGTATGGCACTGCAGTCTCAGCAATAATATTGACAGTAATATATAGTTACTCTGAAGGATCCCAAAGTGCTTTACAAACTATACACAAAGTGCCACTGGAAACCAGACATTTTTGGAGTAAAAAATAGCAGATAACTGATGTACAGCACATTGTGGAATAGCTTTTGGGAGAGCAGAATGCCATACATACAAACCGAAAGGAGAAACAAGTAACATACCTTTATAAGGTGTTGTTTCTCAGGGAGCAAACTAGGAGGAAAAAAAAAAGGAAACATTCTGATATAGATAATATATTTTTACATTTCAAAACTGCAGAAAAATACCACTATACTTACTCTTCAACACTTCTGTCATATATAGTCTTAATTCTCAGGTTTTGATCAACATTTCTCTTGAGAACATGATTTTCCTTAAGATAAACTTTGTAGACAACCTGGTAAAAACAGGAACAGAGAACTTGATTTGACAAGTTATTTTTACTGACAGGTATTTACAAATTCTGAATGCCTCCATATTGAAAGGCTCTTGATTTAAAATAAAATAATAATAATAAATAATAATTCTCCCCCTCCTAATCAGAGATCACTCAGTACTCTGGACATCATCCCAAAAGTCAACATATTTACTTCCACATACACACACCCCTTATCTCCTCTTACTTGTATTAGTTATATATTGACTAAAATAGTCTGAATTTTTAAAAGACAGCTACAGAAGTGGCTAAATTTATAATTTTGACTACAGCAGAAGCCCTGACTGTCTATTTACATTTACTCTCTTGAATTTCTGATGCAAGTTCCAGGAAGCTGCCTCAAATGTCTTCAGCAAGGATCAGACCTAGAAGTAACAGGATTATGACCAAAGCATTTAAACCTGGAATATCATATCAAATAAGCAATTTTCTTTGCAACTGATTGTTTTGGAATGATCTCATTATCTGCCATCTGTTTGCTTTAGTTTGAGGTTATTCTGCAGAGCTTCAGCAGAGCCATTTTTCAAAGCAGCTGGTTCTGGCATTACTGAGATACTGACACCTCTCACTGGAGCACCATTACATTCCAACATCCTTCCACCACCTGACTCCTAACATAGATACCTATAAAACCCACCCAGATACCATGGTAGCCTGGTCCCCACTTCTCCCACCCTTTGACCAATCCTCCTTACCCCATGCCCCCTTAGCCCATCTGAGACCAGGCTGCTCGGATACCCCCTGACCCCATCCCTTACCCCTTCCCCAACCATTACAGAGAGGGCACCACCCCACACCCACTCCCTACCCCATCCCTACCCTGTATGCAGAGGGCACCGCAAGCCCCGCTGGCACTCCATACCCCTCCCAACCCATTACACACAGGGCACCCCATGCTCCATCCCCACTCCTTGCCCCACCCAATATGCAGAGGGCACCCCATGCCCCGCCCATTACACACAGAGAGCACCCACACTACCCCGCCCCCGCCCCACGCGTTACGCAATCACCTCCCCTGGGCCGCCCCGCCCGCAGAGCTCGGGGACTCCTCACCTCTCCGCCGCTGGGAACGCGGTGGTGACAACTGGAGGAGGAGGAGGCGGCGGCGGTGGCGGGGGCCGGGCTACAACCCAACAGAAGCAGCGCAGCGGCGAGGGCGGAGAGCGGCGGCCGACTGTACGGCACCGGGCCCCGGCTGCGGGGCTCGACCGCCATCCTCCGCCGCGTCTCCATGGAGCGAGTGAGTGGCAGCACGTTTCGCCCTAAGCAGCCAACCGAGAGCAGGAGGAGGCGGGTTCCGTCCGAGAGAAGCGTCTGATTGGCTCTTAGGGACGACATCCAAGGGGCGGGGTAGAAGCAGGAGCAAATCGCTGCCCTAGGGGGCTGGGCTGGGTTCATTGAACTGCTCGGCTGGGCTGGGTAATCCAGGCTGAGGTGGGCGGGGCTGGGCGGGGCTGAGGTGGGTAGTCCAGGCTGAGGTGGGCGGGGCTGGGCGGGGCTGAGGTGGGTAGTCCAGGCTGAGGTGGGCGGGGCTAGGCTGGGCTGAGGTGGGTAGTCCAGGCTGAGGTGGGCGGGGCTAGGCTGGGCTGAGGTGGGTAGTCCAGGCTGAGGTGGGCGGGGCTAGGCTGGGCTGAGGTGGGTAGTCCAGGCAGTGTTCGGCTGAGTAGTCCGGGCGAGGGTTGCGAAATGTCTAATTGCACAAACCCAAACACTCTGGCCCGCCTCTCCCCCGAGGCCCCGCCCTTCCCCAAGGCCCCGCCCATGCCCTGCCCCTTCTTCAAGGCCCGGCTCCTGCTCATTTCATCCCCCTCTCTCCATCGTTGGCTCTCCCCCATTCTCACTCTCTTTCACCCTTCACCAGACTGCGGCATGAGGTTGGGGTCAGAGGACAGCAACGTGTCTGTGGTAAAAAAATGTTGAGGTCCATGGGGGTGCTCACCTTGGGCAGCTCCCCGCAAGCAGTTCCCTGTCCCTGCTGTTGCTGGCGGAGGCGCGGCCAGGCGCCAGGCAGCTCTGCAGGCATACTGCCTCTGTCCCCCCTCCCTGAGCGCTGACTCCGTGGCTCCCAGCCCATTGGCCAGGAACCGCGGCCAATGGGAGCTGCGGGGGCAGTAGGGTGCCAGACGGCGAATGTGAAAAATTGAGATGGGGTGGGGGATGGGGGTAATAGGCGCCTATATAAGAAAAAGACCCAAAAATCGGGACTATCCCTATAAAATCAGGACATCTGGTCACCCTAGGGGGCAGCAACTGCGGACGGGGCAGATCCGCCTGGCCACGCCTCTGCGTAGGAGCCAGAGGGGGGACATACTGCTGCTTCCGGGAACACCGCCCGGAGCGTGCACCCCTGGCCCCCTCCCATCCCCCAACCCTCTGCCCCAGTCCTGATCCCCCTCCCACCCTCCAAACCCGTCGATCCTAGCCTGGAGCACCCTCCTGCACCCCAAACCTCTCATCCCCAGTCCCACCCCAGAACTTGCACCCCCAGCTGGAGCCCTCACCCCCCTCAACCCCTTCTCCAGCCTGGAGTCCCCTCACGCACCCTGAATCCCTCATTTCTGGCCCCACCCGGAACCCACACCCCCAGCTCAGAGCCCATACCCCCTCCCAAACCCCAAACCCCTGCCTCAGCCCGGAGCCCCCTCCCGCCACTGTCCATCACTAAGTGCAGTCATTTTGTCAAGTGTCCATCGCGCAACATGGTGGTGCTGACCCCTGGTTGGGGTGCAGGAGGGAGTGTGGGCTCTGGGATGGGGGTTGGGGCTGAGGGGTTCCGAGTGTGGGAGGGGGCTCTTGGCTGAGCCTGGGGCAGGGGGTTGGAGTTGGGGTGTGGGAGGGGGTTTGGGGTTCAGGCTCTGGGAGGGAGTTTGGATGCGGGAAGGGCTCAGGGCTGGGGCAGAGGCTGGGGTGCAGAAGGGGGTATGGGCTTCAGAAAGGAGTTTGGGTGCAGGAGGGGGCTCAGGTCTGGGGCAGGGGATTGGAATGCAGGAACAGATTCGGGGTGCAGGCTCTGGGAGGGAGTTTGGGTGTGGGAGGGTGCTCAGGGCTGGGGCAAGGGGTTGGGGTGCAGGAGGGGTTTTGGGTGCGGGTTCTGGGAGGGGGTTTGGGCTCCAGCTGGGCGGCTTCTGGAAGCAACCAGCATGTCCAGCTCCTAGGCTCAGGGACAGCCAGGCGGCTCTGTGAGCTGCCCCTGCCTAAACGCACCACCCCCGCAGCTCCCACTGGCCGTGGTTCCCAGCCAATGGGAACTCCCGAGTTGGTGCTTGGGGCGGGAGCAGCACGCAGAGACCTCCTGGCCGCCCCTGCACCTAGGAGCTAGAGCAGGGGTAGGCAACCTGCGGCACGCAAGCTGATTTTCAGTGGCACGCACACTGCCCGGGTACTGGCCACCGGTCTGGGGGGCTCTAAATTTAATTTAATTTTAAATGAAGCTTCTTAAACCTTTTAAAAACCTTATTTACTTTACATACAACAATAGTTTAGTTATATATTATAGACTTATAGAAAGAGACCTTCTAAAAACGTTATAATGTATTACTGGCACACGAAACCTTAAATTAGAGTGAATAAATGAAGTTTCGGCACACCACTTCTGAAAGGTTGCCAACCCCTGAGCTAGAGGGACGTGCCAGATGCCGCAGAACCAGAGTTGGTAGCCCCCCACTGCGCCACCCACCAGACTTTTAGGGGCCTAAAATCTCCCGGATTGGATTCAGTAGCCTCTGGGAGATCAAGACCCATTCTGGGAGACACCTGGCAAAATCCAGAAGAGTTGGCAACCCTAGTCAAGGCTGAGATGGGCTGTGCTGAGGTGGGTAGTCCAGGCTGAGATGGGCTCGTCTGGACTAGGGTAGGCAGTGCTGGGCTGGGCTGAGATAGGGTAGGCTGGGCTGGACTAGGGTAGTCCAGACTGAAATGGGCTGGGTAGTCCAGGGCTGAGATGGGTTAGGCAGTGCTGGGCTGAGGTGTGTAGTCCAGGCAGAGATGGGCTGGGCTGGGCTGACCTCTATTGAGCGATGCTGGGGAACGAGAATAGCGGGCAAGGCTGCTGGGGATTATTTTGGCTAATAGGGTGGTTGGCAAGGCCCCTGGTAAGCGAGCTGGACATCTCCACCAGCAGTTCTGTGGTCTGTGAGGTGGTGGAAATCAGGCCTTTTGTGCATTGTCTGGTATAGTTATCTCCTGCACAACCATGACCATTCCTTATTTTGACACTTGCTTTGCACACACAGAAGCACAGAAGCTTCAGAAGCACAGGCTTTTACCTAAGTGAACTAAGAAGTAGTTTTACTAGTGCAGCAGGCAGAGGAAAGGTAAGCATGCAGGGTGAACAGATTTAAATCAACTGTTTAAATCATGATTTAAATCAGCAGGCAGGACACCTTGATTTAAATAATCAATGTAAGGTTGATTCTCTTTGTTTGGTAAGCATTAAAACATGTTGATTTGCAACTAAATATAGCCTTTACACTAAATTTGTTAACCAAGAGGATTCATTACATTTATAAACATTTAGTTAAGCCATTTTATAGCTTAACTTACATGTATTCCAGTACTACTTTAGGCCTTGCTGCAGGCCTAGGCGTAACTGACAGTGTGAACCAAAGGTTGTGAACCAGAATAGGCCTGGCCTAGGCAAAATAACAACATACTAGTTATTAGCTAATACCAAGTAAGCACATTCCTGACTTGAGAGGATGGTACAGGAACATCTAGAGGTCTCAAGTAACTGCATAAACACATTTCTAGGCGAAGGTACAGGAACACACTGACCCCAAGTAAGATAAAGATGGGATGACAGAATAATGGATGGGGATGTTTCATTCAAACTAGCAGGTACAAGGATAAGGGTGGTAACTAACCACGCAGAAGTGTAATATGCAACTTGTTTCTATCAATGTATAAAAGGGGAAGTCATAGGAGGAGCACTTTTGTCCAGTCTAAGGCCTGGTCTACACTACGACTTTAATTCGGATTTAGCTGCGTTAATCCGAATTAACCCTTCACCCGTCCACACTACAGAGCCAGTTAATTCGAATTAAAGGGCACTTAAAATCGATTTCTGTACTCCACCTCGACGAGCGGAGTAGCGCCTAAATCGATTTTGTTAATTCGAATTAGGGTTAGTGTGGCCGCACACCACCGAATTACTGTGGTTAAAGTAATGGGGTAGTGTGGCCGCACACCACCGAATTAATGTGGTTAAAAACCGAATTAATGTGCTTAGTGTGGCCGCGCACAATCGAATTTATACAACCTGTTTCCCAAATTCGAATTATCTAAATTCGGATTAATCCTGTAGTGTAGACATACCCTAGGAGACAGCAGAGACTCCCACTGCTGAGCTAGTCCATTGTCCCGGGCGTACATGTGTTAGTGTACCCGTAGCGCCTATGGGGCACTAGGACTGGGCTTCATCGACAATAAACCTGGCTGAGCACCTTTGCCACTGAACCAAGCCTGTGGTCTTTCTTATGAGTAACATCAATGTCTGAAGAATTAACATTCTGCACTGTCTGCTAGTGCAACGCAGCTGACATCGGAGCTCCAAGAACAGTAACAAAGATGCAGCAGCAACAACATTCTTCAGCACTTAACAACAGTTAGAAAATGGTGAATGATGCAATTCGTATTTACTAGACGATGATTAATTTTTTTACTTAAGATTTGTGTCAAGTTCTATTTGGGTGGAAATTCAACTCAAATGCGCAAAAACAGCATTTTATTTTTGTAAATTAAATAAATACCTTAAGTGTGCTGGATTGGATACATAAGAAAAAGTTTATCAAAACATAGTTTTCATTTAAAGCTGACTGATTTATTAAACAAAGAAATTAGTATTCGTAGTTAATTGAACTGATTGTTTCTGGTCATCATGGCCCTGGGGCAGTGAAGCCTTCCCCAAAGGGGGGGAGTGAGGGCCCCCGCCCCCTCATTGGCTCCATCCCTGCCCCACCTCTTCCCCCAGAAGCCAAAGTGGGGTGGGGACCCTGGGACCCTTAGGTTTACCAGGTGTCCAGTTTTCGACTGGAACACCCAGTCGAAAAGAGACCCTCGTGGCTCCAGTCAGCACAGCTGACCGGGGCGTTAAAAGTCCGGTCAGGGGTGCAGCAGGACTAAGACAGGTTCCCTGCCTGCCCTGGCTCCGTGTGGCTCCCAGAAGTGACTGCCATGTCCCTGCGGCCCCTAGGTGCAGGGGCAGCCAGGGCGGCTCC